GAGATAACAAATGCAAGATCTTACAAAGCTGACAATAGAAAAAATTTGTAGGACTATTTTCAGTGAGCTCAGGGAGATCGTATTCAGGTGTTCCAGTGTGTATTATGGACCTGGTGGTGTGATTGTTGCTTTCTCGTCATATAAATCTATCTATAACCAATAAATATAATAGACATAAGCCATGGCTGTGAAATAATGCAAAAAAAAAAAAGAATCAAATGTATGACGTTATGGCTATTAAAATTGATTAGGATTGAGAAAGTATATGCAAAAATGCGTGATTTTTTTTCGTTGCATGTACGCTAATTCACAGACACAGATTCTAATTAAATGTCATTGCAAAGCCATTTTTGAGAATTTATAAGGAGCTTATACGTGCGCTTTCTTCTCATGTATTGATGCAGCTAGTTATTGGAATGTCTGGCGAAGGCGCAGTTTATTTTTTCCGTTTCACAAAACGAAAATCTAACAATGTATAAAAGATGTTTTAGAGAGAAGGGTTCTAAAAATTTTATTTAAAACCCCAAGCAAAGAGACAAAATATTTATTTAATCTTTAAATAATAAGCAAAGAGACAAAATATTTATTTAATCTTTAAATAATAAGAAAAATGAAATAATTTTTCCTTCGAAGAGTTTATAACCAACTGTATGCCGAAAAAAAAAAAAAAAAAAAAGAAAAGGAAAGCATAAATTTATTAAACTATATTAACAAGATCGTCGTTCTAAAATTTATATCATGCACTATTGAATAATCACTATAAAGTGTTATAAAAAATAATAAATACATTTTCAACATATTTAGTACAGAAAATGTGACGAAAGCTGTAATCTTAATCACAGATGCAGCAACATAACAACGATTAATTAAATTGCTTCGAAAAACTACAGCACGAGTACAATCAACACCAATAGGATTTAGATTTGATTGTCTTGTTTCATATAACAATAGGCAGTAGATTAACATAAACGTATCATTTGAGTGTTTCTTTATATTTTTTTACTGATATTATGTGGTCTTTGCTGTCCACGAATTATTTTGCTTCAAACTAGGAAAGAGAATTTGGCTAAATGATATCGGATTTCTTACATATTTCATGATAACATTTAATGGATTAATATCGCAATGCTGAAATCATTACAAAGTTCGATTTGTTCCTTGGCAGTAATTTGACAACAAAGCAGTCCAATTTCTATGAAAAAAGAATTATTACGTTTCTCGAATTTAAAAATTGTTTCTGATAGTAATAGTTATACTGTTCATTTTTCGCATTTTGAAACAGTCCAGCAAAATTTATTCTAAATTTCTGGAATATTTAAAAATTTCCTTGAACGCTTTCGCTTCTGTGATAGAGAAAATCTTGTCAACATTTCAATTCACTTTAAAATGAATAGTGAAAAAGACACAGAAATTAGAAAACGCTTACAAGTTTAAGATCACGTTGAAAGAACATTTCAGAACTTAGTCGGGGGAGATGGCTATTCTTTATTGAGAAATTGTTGTAAAAATTCACTTCTGTTATGTTTTTTATACTTTTAATGAATACTGTTTATAATTTTTTTATATTAAAAATGTGCAGAATGTGATTAACTGCTCTTCCTAATGTCATTGTTTAAGAATCAGAAATTCTAGTAAGAAATTAAAAATAATATTATAAGTTTGTAAAGTCATTAGGCTTTTTTGAAGCAGGATACGGGAAAAATGGGCAATGCCCTCGCCGGGACTCGAGCCTGGACCTTTTCGAATACGCACCGAGTGTGCTAGCATTACACCACGAAGGCCTGCTGGCAGGAAGATGAAAGTACCTTTTAAGTTAAAAAAAAGTTATATGTCATATTAGCATTTAGAATCTCTTACCTTCCCTTCCATTGATTCCCAACATAAATTATGTTCTTGCTTTAATTTCAAACTACAAAATTCAAATGTCATGGATCAAATGACATTGTGGCCATTTTGGTAATGATTAGGCAGATGAATTAGCCGAAGAAGAAACTGTTAATTAAGATGGTATTGAAATCACCCATCCATGGCCTCGCCTAAATTTCAAGTATCAACTTAAATAACTTTCTTCAAAGCATTGGCAAGATTTGTGGAATAATGCTTCACAGGGAAGACGCAGATATAACTTGATCCCCAACGCAAGCTTCGCACCTCTAGACTCGAATCCTTCATTAAATTACTACACAACAGGACAAGAACCTTTTTCTACATATTTTTACGCAAGAAATATGCCGAACTCAGACATCTGCATATGTGGGGAACAGGGAACTTCTGATGATTACATTTTCTCATGCCTCTTGACTGAAGATTATTCACATAAAATCCCCACAAATTGATATCCTGCATTTCGAAGTTTTCTAATTAAAAATAAACATTAGTATCCGATTTTCCAAAAAATTATGCAATGACTCGCTTTCTACGGTCTAGATCTTTATTAAGTAAAAGTTCTCCTACTGCATAAATGTAATGAGCTTTTACATCCTCTGAATAAGTAGAAAATGACTCCATTTGTGAACTTTATAAATTGTAATAATCTTTTATAGCTGTAATAAACCCATGAATATATCTTTATTATTATTGCAGTTCAATATAACATTGTGTCCCCAGTACTTATTATATTATCTGTATAATTATTATGAATATTTTTGTTACACCAAAACATATGTTCAATTTAATTTGTGAATTTCAAATTGTATTGAAACTATATTGTATTGAAACTAAACTATATATTTATGTCCTAAATCTGGATGTTTAATAAATACTGTACAGTGGGATTGCACGATATACAATAATAGGTAAACTCTAGATCCTTTGGAAAGCTTTAGTTGCTCATTTCCTCAACCATTCTTTGTGAATTCTTATAAAGCTTGAAAATTTTTAAATAGTTAGTTAGTATGGGAACCATTATCATTTGACCCATGGTACATTGCTGATGTCTCCCATACTTCTACCTGTATGTCATATCAATATTTTCTTACACAAGCAAATGTAAAAGGCAGTCACAAAAACAGGATATTTCGAATACTTATGCCAATGAAATTTTAAATTAATAGAGAAATTTTAAGAAATATGCGTCAGATGCAATTAATCTCGTAATTAATGCAACCCGCAAAGTGAAAATAAGGTGTTCTTTAATTTAAAATTTCGACTTGGGGTACTTTTCTTAGTCCAAAGGAAACATCTCTTACTCTATTTGATATCTACTGCTGAAATATTCTACTGTGTGTTGGCAAATCTGTAGACCGCGTTGTGAAATTAAGGAATAATTTTGTATTTCAACTAGTTGAATAGACAGCAGGAATCTCTAATGTAGTGATGAAATGTATAGAACAGTACAGCGTAAGTATTTTAAAGGCTCCAGATCTAATTTTTCTGAAAATGTGAATATATGTACAGAATATGATTTAATTACAAGTTTAGTCTTAAATTGAGTAATGCCTCTATTATCATACCAATATGTAATAAGAACACTTATACAATGTCTCACAGGAAGAAATTCATACAGTTATTTGTTATCTTTTTAAATGCATATGTGTTCAAATTACAGCTAATTAATATAAAAATAGAGGTTAGTCTATAAAAGTTCTAGAAAATGCAAATTGAACTAAAAAAATAACAGTAAATAAATGAGAGCTATAAACAAACATTTTTACAATAGCTGGTGCGGAAAAAACAATCTAAAATCTTTTCAAGGCATTAATTTATTAATTTTGTAAAAAAAATAATAAAAAAATTAATAAATAAAGATTTAAAAAAATTCTGCGTTTTAGAAGCGAATAAGCAGTTCCCTATACCATCCGAATTTCAGTGCCAGCATTTTCATAGGCAGTAAATAATCAATGTAGATTAGACACAGAATAGCATTTTCCCCTTTCATTACTAAACTGCTTATTATGCCTTGTGGGACGGTGTTTATAAATAAAAGTTGTTTGTCCAACTTAAGGCTGAAAACTGACATCACGAATTATATACAGAAACGTATAATGAGCTGCGTGATTGGAAGTATGTTTTCGTTTAAATATTTTGCCACTCTTAACATTGAAATCATTGCCAGTGTCTTTTGTAAATAAAAAATATTATCCAAAACGTGGTATGATACCTGGTACCACAGCTACCTGGTAGCAGTTTGGGTGAATATGAATGAAACCAGTTCTATATGAATGAAGGTTGGTACCAGCTGAATATGAATGAAGGTTGTAAATGAAAAAAATCTTGTTCATATATACTGAGGAAATAATATTTAGTTTAGCGTTAGCTAAACTTAATATTATTTAATAATAACTCTTAACTAATATTATTTAATAATAACTTAATAATAACTCTTAACTTTACAATGTATTTTCTCCTACCTTTCCGCATGCTTACGCAGCGTAACAGTAGCGCATTCGGCACGTATTCGAGAGGTCGAGGGTTCGAGTGCCGGAGAGGGCACTGCACATTTTTCACCTCTTCTGCTTTAAAACAAAACAAAACAAAACAAAAAACGAATGATTCTACAAATGACGAACACAAAATGGTGGACAATAATTCGTCCCCGCCAATATTTGGCGACTGGGTCCCTTAATCTCCAGCCTCACTTCAAAAGGGGGAGTATATAAGGTATTTTTTCCGTCCCTTCCAGGTGATGTAACGGTAGCACATTCGGCGCGTATTCGAAGGCTCCAGGTTCGAGTCTCGGCGTGGGCATTACTCATTTTTCTTGTCTCCTGCTTTCAAATAACCTAATGACTCTGCAGCCTAATAGATGTATTTTGCCGACTTCATTTATTAACATGTTTGATGTATTGATCATGCAACTATTTTCGTAAAATTAAACCATGTTTGAGAAAGGGAGACTATCTTCTCATCTCATTTCGGCATCAGGGTAGAAAACAGTTTAATTTCATTTAAGGTTTGAAAACCTCTGTATTATTCAGATATGCATCAATGGTAAATTCTACTTGAATTTAATGGAATAATTTTCTCTCTTAATAGGAAGAAGTAAGTTTCGCAAGGATTTCTTCATTTTCCACGCATAAGTTAAGTATTTTAGATTACAAGATTTAATGCAAATTGAATTAATTACGTCAAGTTTTGATTTACTTAAAATAGGAAGAAAAGGCATTCATGCAATTAGCGTTTGCGTTTCCAAATTTGATTTAACATTTTATTTTGTAGGGAAGAGCCTCAACCCAAGACAGAAGTATCAGAAGCGGAGCTAGCAATGGAGGTATATTTAACCGTCATAATAACAATTCAAAATTAATCTTTGTTATTTATTTCAGGATTAAGTATACTAAAAAGGAAACGGTAATTTTGTTTGCAGGTCTGTTTAGTTTAGATCTGTAACTTTTTATTTTAAAAGGACAAACTGAAAGTTATACTTAAATTAGAAACTCAGGACAAATACTTTAATGTGAAATTTTTATAATATAGTTAGTAATTCAAAAATTAAAAGAAGCATAATCATGATTATTTTTCTAATTTGTTCTCGTCATCCGTTCTTTCCCTGTCATCTATTTATTAACAATTTATGTATTTTTAAATACAGAAGATGAGGAAAAAAAAGGAAGAAGAAGAAGCAATGTGGGCTGAATACATTGAGCAGCGAAAGAAACAACGGGCTAAAGAAGAGGAGGAATTAAGGAAACTTAAAGAACGCCAGGTGAGTACAAGAATTAAAATAAAAATTCACTTTCCTGTTATTAGGGTTTAAATTGTTATTTAAAAGTCAATTATTACTTAAACTCGAAGCGAAACCTTACATTCAGTAGTACTGATGGGTGGGTTTTATAGAGCAAGACCAAGTTTTGCTCATTTTAAATCAGAATTATTATTAATTAAGTTTTTATGTTTCCCATATAATTATTATTTAATTAATTATAATAACTGCATTTACAGTTTAAATTAATTAAAAAAATATTACAAAATCTTCTGTTTTAAAGTATGCTTGAGATTTTTTCGCAATACTGAAATTGTAAGTGCGGCTCTAAAATATATTTCTGGCTTCAAATAATGGATTAATTTATAGGAATTAATTTCTTAAGTAAACTTCTGTTCCTTCTGGAACTGTCAGACGACTTATCATCGCTTTCGGTAAAACAATCCCAACTCAGAAAGTTTAAATAATGCTTTTTTAAGCCTTTGAATTTAACAGCAGGCACAGCTGTCGTTTGCAAATCAGTTTCCGTTATTTGTGGGCTTTAAACTAATAGAAAACTATTAAAAGTAAAGTTTAAGTAATTAACACTTGAATTTGTAAAGCAAAATCCTATCAAGCTTTGTCCCAGACTTTCTAAATACGAGTACGTAAGCAACACAGCTAGCCAAAGCCGAACTAAACAATTCTAATGAGCTAGGGAAAGAGTATCACGTAGACCACAGTCGCCACCAACAGCTGTCTTCATAAATTTCAAGATCTCCGCTCTTATGTACACGTGGTTATTTTTTTATACACTTGCATCCGTTCTTTTATACACTTGCATCCTGGTGGGAGATAATAATAGTAATAAGTTATGCGGTTTAATTAACATCAAACTTTACATAAAAATTTCTGATAAAAATAATCTGATTAACTTTCTCAACTTTCAAGTATTTTATAATATAGTACGTTATACTGTTAGTTAATTTATTGAGTGCATAAAATTTAGCCTAAAGTTTTTGCATTTTTTACAATAATTAATTAAGATTTTCCACATTATTGACAAATTATGATAAAGTATTAATAATATTTCATACTATCTTAAACTTCTTAAAACAGATATTTTATGCAGATAAAAAGAAAAGAACGGAGGAAAGAAGAAGAAAAGAAATTACTTGCCTTGAAAAAGCAGCAAGAAGCTCAAAGAATCAAAGAAATGGTAACTTGTCTTATTTTTTCAACATTCATGGTACGTTCCTGTAGAAAGAATATTTAATAGTCTTGTCATTCAAAAATTTACCTTTGGTGCATGAAATTAAAATTTGGAACACTTAAATCTGATTCTAGTAAGCGGGTTATTCCTTAAACCCGTTATCAAGTTAATGAGTGTAACTCAGAGTTGAAAATTTTTTTTGCTTTGAAGCTCTAAAATTGTTGGCTGGACACGTAAAAAACTAAGGAGAAGGGAATAAAAATATCTTCAGGTTGTTTTTCAACTTGTAAGGGTTTGGTTGGAATTCTTTGACTTGATTCAAAATACAGTACATTTTTAACTACTGCTCAATCACACAAATTCCAGGGTAAATGTAGTACCGTGTAGTGAAAATCATTTCCTAAGCCTTTCAACAGTGCCCATCAGCGGTAAAAGCCGCTGAAGATTAGTAGTTCGGTTCGAGTCCCTGTGAACGGGCTGGCTGCTTGGGCGTTTTCGTGGTTTTTTTCCGTGTGTAACGTGGTTGCGAGCCAGTTTCCCTTAAAAAAAGATCTCTACGGGGCATCCCTCCCTTTCCGTGTAGTGCCTAAGGCGGAACACGTAGTAAGTAAAAAAGCTTTGCCAATACAGATCGATCCAAACATTACTTTACTGTAATATTGATTTATCAACGGAGTTACACTTATGGATTATTTTACTAGCGCAATTATTATTAGTTAAATTGAATGGATAGCAGGCATTTTAATAAAAAAAATTAAATCAAATGTTAAAAACGTGAAAAGCTTTTATCAATAGACATAAAAGTTAGAGTTGACTCACTCTATACAGAAGATGAAGGAGAGAAATTTATTTGCATTTCGTCTTTGAGTGTTAGTGCAATGTTTTCTTTATTAATAATTCGTATTCGAATGTTCAAGGTCGGTTAAACATGCGTATCTGTCCAAAATACAATTGTTGATTTACTTTATTTTATTTCTAATTAATTAGTATAATTTCACTTTTACAAAGCTTCCCTGAAATAATCACAAGCACTTCGGGTAATTAAAATAAAAGTGGTATGGATTTTATCTGCAAACAAATTATTCGAGAAACATGTTTGGTTAAAGTATTATTTCAAATTTTATTTATTTTTACAAACATTTGCTCACGTCTTAGCACTTGATTTCATAATACTTCGGTACCTGCGTTCAATGCCTTTAAAAAAGCTAATTTATAGTTACATGTCCCTTGCTCACCATTTGGGATGTTAATATCTTTGAGCTTGTCAACTTGGACAAAATTCTCCCAAACAGCCTGCTGTTCGCGCTTGCTAATTACTAAAAATTACTAATTTTTATACATTTCAGGAAGAGAAGAAAGCCAGAGAAGCGGAAGCCAAGAAGAAAAGATTGGAAGAAGCAGAGAGAAAAAGACAAGCGATGCAAGAAGCTCTACAGCGAAACAAAATCCAGGAACCAGTGACGCCAAACTTTGTCATAACGAAACGAAATGAAGATGGTTCACTGCATCCTGCTCTCGAGAAGGTAAGAGGGATATACGAAGTGCTAATTTATAGTCCCTTGCTCACCTAGGGTACCTAAGTCTAGGCTACCTAGGGCACCGTAATTTCATTCATATAACGAATTTTTAGTGCTGTAAAATTTTTTGGCATTATCCCAATGCATTAATTAAAATACATTTTTAAATAAAAACTTATTAAATACTAGACATTATATTTATTAAGTATCATTCAGCATTTTGACAATACTCGTCAGCCAGGAATAAATACACCACTAGCCATATATATATATGCATATCAAAATACAAATAGTTTTACTGAGTAGTACATTATCTTTAAAATGCTCCTTACTATTGATTTTTTTTTTTTTTTTGTCTAAACATCAACTGGATGACGAAGATTTGAAAATTAACTTTACAAACAAAGTATTAATGGTTATTAAAACTAAGAAATGTAATATAAAATTTTTGTCTGATTGTTTAATATCGATATTTTTCATATATGTTTAATTATTTTATATATATATATAAATTTTCATATATATTTTTATGATGCATTTTAACTGTTAAAATAAGGCATTCTTTCTCATAATTCTGTGTCCCAAATTTTTAAGTATGATGTTACGGTTGTATGGCTATTCTCCTTCCATACCGGGTATCTTCATGATGTAATTAGAGAGCACATCCGGCTAGCAGTCGGAAGGTCTAGAGCTGAAATCACGACAAAGGCATTGCTCATTTTTCACATTTTGTGCTCCAAAATAAACCTAATGACCCTACAATGGCGCCCGAACTAAAGAAAGGTGGCGGACGATAATTCATCACGACCATGATATGGCGTTTGTTCCCCTTCTCCTCAGTTGTCCGTTAAGTGAGGAAAATTGTACCATTTTTCCCTCCTTACAGTCTTCTTTCGTGATGTAACTAGAAAGCACACCCGGCTAACAATCGAAAGGTCCAGGGTTCGATTCCTGGCGAGGGCACTGCTCAATTTCTATGTTTCCTGTTTTAAAATATACGTAATGACGCTACCCTGATAGTTATAATGTACGTTAATGCTTAGAGTAACGATGCTGAGTAAGCAGCTAAGTTGCCTTTAGAAAATCTTTTATTTTGAACTCAATTTTTAAGTACCTTTCTTAAAACTATTTACATAGCTGATACAACACTTTCATTTTTATTTCTATAACGTTTTAGAGTGATATGTATTGGTATTTATTTCAGTTTCCATCTGCTCTGTACATGAGAAATGAGATGGCCAAAACAAAGGAGCAACTTGCTGAAGACAAGAAAATCGCAATTGCGGTTCGAGTCAAACCATTGAACATCGAAAATTTAACAGTAGCTGAATTGAGGCAGAAAGCTCAAGAGCTTTGGCAGTGCATAGTCCGATTAGAAAGCGAGAAATATGATTTGGAAGAGAGAAGGAAACGACAAGAATATGACGTAAGAATATTATACTATTTTTTTAAAAACCCTTTGCTTTGCTAGCTTATTCTGGAAACTTAACATTTACTCTAACAAAAAATTGAACCAATTAGTTAGTTTTGTTTTATATTATCGTTGTCTGTCTAGTAATTGCTCAATTAAAAACTTCCAAACTTAAGCCTAGTCATAAATATATGTAAATGTCTTTCTTCGCGAAATATGTTAGTAAAGCATTTTTCCCTTTATAAAAGGTTCTCAGCATTCTAGGAAATGCTCGTTAAATGACTATTAATAATAGCACAATTCTTGAACACATCTTTCTTCTTTCATGATAATTTTCTTTGATTTTACCGACTACATATATTCTCCTTTCTCTTCCATAAACAAATCTCCATGATCTGTGAAAACATCTTCCTTAGACTGTCGTCTTCACCAACTGTCTTTAGTTGGTGTAGATAAAATTATAGGGTTGCTGTTGATCTCGAATCTGTAGTCCTGCAGACTCTACTACTAGATAAGACAACGAGTTACTGCTACGTTGCAAATTGCAACAATATACTGAAAAAGGTTTTAAAATAGCCTTTTTATTTAATTTAGTCTGAACTGAATCTAAAGGGCACAATTTCTGCTGCAGACAAATCACCACTCGTGGCTATTCAAATTAAGCAATAGCAGACAATAAAATTCAAACGTGGTAACATAGTCTATGGATCAGTTATTTCTTCGGTGCCAGTTTCTTAAGCCAGTTTTTTTCGAAGCAAAAAACTGGCTTAAGTTTAAACCATCGGCTGCCGAGAATACAAAAGCCAGAATATCACTTTTAAATAGTGGAACTGGTGGTGAAAAAACTAGCAGCAGACGTGAATGCCAGAAGTTCTGTCTCTCTCTCTCTAAGGTTCAAACCCTCAACTTAAATACTCTCAAAACTAATTTGCTTTCTATTGAGGAATACGGAAAAAAAGAGTTAAAGATCAAAATCATAAAAATTGGTTAATTAACATTATAACCTTAAAAAGTTATAAAACTAATTATGAATAATCCAGGTTCTTCTTCTCAAGACTATATCATCTCAAAATATATCACACAAAAAACATATCTTGCTTTGTCATACTGAATAATTCAAGGTAGCTTTATCATATTATGAAATAAATAGCAATATAAAAATGCTTGTGGGGTAAATGGCATTCAAATCAGAGAGAAGAGTAAACTATAAGGTATTTCTCCCGCCCTCTTAGCATGCCTTCGTAGTGTAGTGGTCAGCACGCTCGGCACGTATTCCAGAGGTCCATGGTTCGATTTCCGGCGTTGCTCATTTTCACATCTCCTGCTTTGAAAAATTACCTAGTGTGTCTACAAAATTAGCGAGGATATTATGAAATAATTCTGACATCATATTAATTGTCAAAAATATGTAACTGAGTACTAAAATTGGTGCTTATTATTTTCGTAACACTTTTATGTAGCACTTGAAATATGTGCAATTTTATCACAGTGTTAACTTAATATTGTAACATGACAGGTGGTGAAAAATTAAAATCATGTGAATTTTTGACGAATCTGTCCCAGGAGCTCGTGTTTTCATCATTTTGCAATTACTTGAAATTTTCGAAAATAGTTTAGCTTTTGTTTTCTGAAGGTCATGTCTTTCAGAGTATGTAACGCAGCCATCCACGTAGGCTTACGACTGTTTAATTACTTTTCTCCTCCCCACATCTGTAGCCTAGATATATTTAACAAGCCGTAACAGACTGTAATTGTACGCTATTGGACTTTTACAAACAATACAATACAAGAACCGCAGAAAACTTTAACATTGGTAAAAACGGCTAATTACAGCCAAACACTGGTTTACGCTCTTAAAGAATTTAGGAAAAGTATCCTCTAAAAATAAAAAGCAAATACATTAGCTGTCGAGCAGCAGTCGCTGTGTTTGAAGACGCAATTTAAATTAAAATTTAAAGTACAATAAATTAAAATTTAATTTTATCCTGTTTTCTATATTTCAGATATTATATTAAAATTTATTTAATTTTTTTTTAACCATTTGTACGTACTTTTTACAAATTCAATGAAAAAGCTTCATTACTTTTTTGAATCATTTTTATTCTTCAATAAGCATTTCGTTTTCCTTCAAAATGAATTGAAATTATTTCAAGAAAAGCTTAATTATGCACGCGATTATAATACAATTTAATACATTTTTCAGCTGAAAGAATTAAGTGAAAGGCAAAGACAAATTAACAGGAGTAAAGCCTTGAAAAAGGGTTTGGATCCAGAGTGAGTAAAGGTTTCAATATTTTTTTCACTAGGTATTTTTTAATATATATTTACTGCATTTACTAATGGTTAAATAAATGATTTTTTCTTTTAGTGCACTGAGTGGAAAGTACCCGGTAAGTTCTGTTCTTTATTTTTTAAAGAAGCTGTTTAGTGTTCAGCAAAATACGGAACTACATATGATTAATATGAAAATGCTGTCTTTTTACTTGGCATTAAACACTTCCCGTAACATTCCTTTTCACAAAGAAATTTTCATTTTTCGAAACAAAAAACTGTTTGCTTAAGTTCCCAAGAATAATTACTAAGCTTATTGAAGTCACTATTAATGATATTTTATAGCTACGCCTCTGAATATGTTATGTTTTGATGTATTACTACATTTTATTTTCAGCCTATGATTCAGGTTGCCAGTAAGTACGAAAGGCGTCTTGACAGAAGAAGTTTTGTTGACAAGAAGTCTCTCTATGAAGGGGTAAATTACAAAAATTTACATTTCTTTCTCAGTGTAGATTCCTAAGTATTTGTATTCAAGAATTAAGAAGTGTTGTTCTTAATTTTGGTTAAAATTTAACAATGGTTTAAGACTTTAGTAAGCGCTATCCTATTTTTGTATCATATAAAAATAAAATGTAGTTTAACGCATTTACCATTGAACCCCTGTATCCGCGGGTTCACTATCCGCTTTTAAATTATCTGGGGGGTCACAACGAAACCGTTTGAAGTTTCAAAATTTGCGCCAAATGATAAGTAGCCTATGGCCAAGTCCATGAACTTTTATTCCGCGCACCTGAAATACAGACTCTCTGAAACAAAAACAGTCTATGGGCAAATGTGAAATAGAGCCACCGAAAGAAGCTAAGTGTATACTGAGCACGTAGAAATCACTTTTACCGCAGTAATAACGACTACACGCATGTGCATACACTTTCCTAACGGGTGTAACTTAATGCCAGGGGAGATGAATATGGTCATCTTTCATAACGTCATACAGGTTCCTCGAGAACTGCGCTTTTCTGATAGCTATGGAGGAGCAATCACCCTATTCTCACTAACGGTATTCTATCGCAGCTCTCGTTCTCAGTAGGGTTTTATTTGCGTTACAGTGGTTACCAAGCATAAGAGTAGTAATGCTTACAGTGTTTTTGAACGTAAGAAAAGCTGTGATGCTTTAGCCTTTAAACAGAAAACAAGAGTTTGAAAGAGTAAATGTTGCATTATTGCATTAAATATTACAATATATGAAGTAATATTATGTACTGTATATTTTAATATTGTTTATGATATTCATAATCTCCAAATTTATGGTTTAAACTTCCTCGTATTATGTATGCTGTGTGGATATCTTGTTCTACGTAGGGTTCACTGTTATCCGTCGTTTCATGTATCCGTAGTTTGTTCTGGAATGTGTTAACCATGGATAATCTGATTCTTAGTTTTCATCTTTATATAACAAATTTTAATGCAGCAATTACGTACATGAAGAAATTAAAAATTCTTTTCTTAACATTAATTCTTTTCCTCGAAGTCTAAAAATAAATGCCAGATACTCTCCTTCCATTATAAATATGTCATCACTAATGAAGCTACAAGTTTTAAATTTTAGAGCTTTGATATTTTATTTCTTCCTGGCTCACTCTCATTATGAAGGTCAAACGGTTAATTTATTGCATTTTTAATATATATTTATTTAGCGTAAATCTTTTCCTCTTTAAGACATATGATACACAAAATTTGAAGCAGTCTTCCCCAAAAATACTAAGACGGTGTGCAGTCGTGTAGATTAAAATAATATTGGCTGTACACTGAATGTAGAGAAAAACCATTTTTAGCATGTAAAAGAAAACGTACATTAGTAAGGAAGTGAGACACTCGGGAATGGGAAAGCACATATTTCGTGAAATTTTCCGGGCATGTTGTAGTTAGAAAGTTTAATGTAAGAGTATTAGTATGTGGAGGAGAAGGAGAGATGCACTGAAGCAGAACTCTTTCGCACTTGGCCATTAAATGTTGATAAAATATATCTTGAGGAATGCTCGCTATGAGATGGTGTGAAACTGAAAATACGATGTTTTTACTTCTTATACTGAAACTGATGTTCACATTCTGTTCTGTTTACCAAATTTCAAAATGTTACTAGTTAATTTTCAAAGAGTTTATTTAATTTCTGGCTCAGAGGTTTTCTATATATTTGTAATGAATATATTATATTTTGTGGAATATAAGCTATTTAATACTACTCGCTTTGTAAGTTACTTAAAAAACATAAATCAGGATTCATAGAGCTGATTAAGTAGAAATATTTTCCTTCAATTATACCCAGCATTTCTTCCCAATTAATATTTGTTGTTACTACCATTATAAATGGATAAAGCTTTTGAATTAAGAAATAGAAAAGTAGTTAACTTAATAGTAATAGAATATGTAAAATAAATGATTTTTGAGAGCACGAAAACCTTTCTGTTACCTGAATGCAGTAGCATGTGCACTGCCCTTTCGGTAGTTGGTGAAAAAGACAATTATACAAATATCCACTTTGATCAACATCTGTCAGACATTAATATAAAGCGATGAAATTACCATTCTAAAGTCATTTTTGAAACACGTTATAATTTTCGAAATAACATTAAAAACACCTCATTATTCTTATTCGTCAGCAACATTTTCCTTTATGTTGTTAGCCTGTACCACAGGCTTCGCTCACCTACAAAATTGTTGGGTTATGGCCAGATGACATGTAGCCATGAGTTCATAAACTTTCTGTTCTTGGACCATATTTTGAAGGTTTAAGGTGGCCACGACGGAATGTGACCACTCTATAAGGTTCGAAATCTTTGACAGACTCTAAGCTAGTTATATGATGTTCAGGTTTGGCCTTTGCAAACCTCACTTGCGTTACCTGTTCTTCTCACAGGAAGACAACTCCTCATCAGAAGGGATTAATAAAAAGTTTATTTATATAGTTTCATAAACTTGGTGAAGGCCATCTGCATCATCATAATGGTTACCTTCCATAATGTTTTAGTCGTTTTCGTACCTTGTTTCAGAAATGAGTAGTCAGATAAATTGAAAAACACAATTGTAATATTTCTATTATTGAATCTAGCAAGAAAAGGCATTGGTGATTAAAATTCTAAAAGTATATCTGAATGTATAGAAACTGAATACTGAGCAAAGTGAAATTTTTATAATTGAAAAATGAGAATTTAATTAATAATTATTTAAACAGGGATATATGTCTCAGATAGAAGCGTCTGTTGCCTCCGAGTGGGAGAATAAAATAAAAAATTTCAAAGAACGTGGTCCTTCCCGCCTTCCAAAGTGGGACCCCACCGCACCCAAAAGTAAAGAGAAACCAGAAGCCCGAGAACCTGTCGAAGAGGAAGAAGATATTTCTTTTATGCCTGGAGAGAATCCTGAGTCAATGGGGAATGTAAGTGATTTCTTTTAACATTCAAACAACCTTCGAAATTTAATGATTAATAAAGATTGCAATACTATATGTCAAAAATTAATCAATAAAGCGCCAAAAATTATAAAATGCCTAATTAAATGTTGAAAGTTAATTTCAGTCAAACGGGTTAATTTCATTACAGTTTTAATATTGGCAGATTTATGAAATGGAGGTCAATCTCAACTGAAGTTTTGAAAGCCTCTTACCTTGACATCAGCGTATGCTTATTATTTCCTTTAATGTGGGGATTTAATCAGAATACTTGGAACGCGGGGCTTTTCGCGAATGCGACTTACGGGACCCCAACAATGACTTTGCCTCTTGGCTTTACGTATAATTTTAAATACTCATTTTCACATGACTTTAAATTTGCATCCTGGCGAGGAAATGCTAGGGGAAAATGAGAGGTTCAGGAAAAATATGAAACTTAAAATAATTTGTCATATAAAATAAGGGGAACCCTATAAACAGTGTTTAATATTTTAATGCTTTCTGTGCTAACGCACTTTAAAACGTTAACAGCTACAGAATACTTTTCAGTGTTGACATTTTGAATGTAAAAAGAAATATCACCTACTACATTAGACCACTTTTTTAAAGGTCTGAAATAATCGATCTGATAGTACTCATCGTATCATAACAACTCTGGCCACAGTGAAAATATGATTGACACACAGTCTTTATAAAGCTGTCAACATGAGATGATATACTAGTTACAAATATGAACGCTACTTAAAATGTGGCAGGACTGGAGTTATGCAAGAAAGGTATCATCACGAATATCTGAAAGTATACATATTAGGTGAAAGAAGTTCTAACACCCTCGAAACTAAGCAACATTTGTTTAGAGTTATACAAAATTATTTTTTTTAAAAAAATGAAGCTTTGAATGGAGAATGGAACGTCTTTCTGTTTATCCGCCTTCAGCGTCTACCACGAAACTCTGATCTCAGGCATTTAGATGTTAGTTCTGATCTCAGGCATCTGATGTTAGTTAGATGTGAGTTCAAGTATCTAGTAGTAACGGTTATAATTAAAGTTACGGTTGGCCGTTTTCCCGGGAAAAAACAATGTATAGCTATTATGAAGAGGCAGTGTATTTGAAAGCTAACATGGTGCTTTAAAGTATTGGAAATATACTTGAAAGTTAATTTGTATAGATATTCAATTTTTAATTAATTGCGAAATTCATCAGTCTTTCTTTATTTCGAAAATTACACTGCCTTTCTATTAATTATGTAAAAGAAATATAGTTCATAAGCAACGAATATTATTAGACCATTAATATATTGAAAGGAATAAATTAAACTTAAATATGACGAAAACGTCTGTATAATTAATCTTCTATTGAATATAAGTATTGGACGACTTTTAACCCTTTGCTTCCTAAATTTTGTTCTCAAGAACCCTTAGGAATAGATCTAAACTCTGAGCCGAATCTCGTATTAAAAATATTGCAGCTTGCACATGGCGAAAATGAAGATTGGCGAATTATCAGTTACATTCAGTTAAGTGCATTAGCAATTACATTAGAGTTAGGATTAACCCCAGTCGAAAGCAGAAAAGCCCAATCTTATCTACAGTGTTGCTCAAATTAAAAACAAAAGTGCTTTTTTTTTTTTTTTTTTCGGGGAACCACTGACTGGAGCTGAAAAAGTATATTTTACACAATAATAAAAAAAATTATTAAAAAATAAAGCCTTGTAATATTATAGAACGGATGAAGTTAAATATTAGAACTTATTGCCGTGCCAACAACAAATAGTAAACTTTATTTCGGGGCAGGAATTATATTTTTTCTGATTTAGGAAACGCAACATCTGTGAGCTATTTGCCAGATTTATAGATTTATAATTTCAGCTGTTGGGCGTTTCTTACTTCCTCTTCTCACCCCACCCCCCAAATGTCTTCACGTTCGCATTATTATTTCAAGGGTTCAGGTTGAGAAGTAGTGGAAGTTTTCGAATTCCTTATCATGAAAATGGATATGCATGAGTAACGGTGTAGGAATATATTTCTAGGTTTGAATTTTTCACATATTGTTTTATATAATTAAGTTTATTTTCCTTATAAGTATTCCTGAAAAATATATTATCAATAGCGTTGTATCTAAAAGTTTTGTTGTAATTACATGAATAGTATTTAAGACGAATTTAGGATGAACATGAATGTATTTAAAGTATGTTAACTTCTGTGCAGAAATTGTTAAAAAATTTAAAATAACAGTATTGCTTATGTAGAAGGAAAAGGTGCTAAATTTAGCCAGTGGATATGCATTTATGCGCATATACATATTTTTTGAATTTGTGATGAGATGAGTAAAGCACCTTTTTATTACCTAAATTTCGTGTTTGATTGTGCTATTGCTTTATTAAAATTCTTCGTTGCTTATGTATGAAAAGTAAGTAATATTTAACACTTTTTAACTAATATGGTAAGATAACATTTCATATTGGATATAAGAAGTTAAGAAGGATTTGTTTTTATCTGTACAATAATATGTTAACTTATTCTTGTATGTATACATTATTTAGCAAAAGAATTGTTTAGGAAAAATGCGTTTAAAATGAATATTGTAACGCTTGAAGACTAGAAGTAAGAAATTATAATAGCTAAATAATGCCATAAAAGTTATCAAAATAAGATACTTCGCCTTATAGAAGTAATTTCGTATAAAAAAATCCACAGTTTTTATTTTTTTAAAGAAACCACAAATGAAAATGGCAAGCAATTTGCTTTCAATAACTATTTTCAGTATCAATATAGCAAAGATGAGATATATGAGATAAGATATATATATCAAATATAAACCAAACTTATATTTTTACTATTTAGAAGCTTATTTTTTAGAAGCTAAAAGAATATGCACATTTAATTAAACGTTTATCTAATTGGGAGCTGAATAAGAAAATGTAAGTAAACAATTATCTACAGCGAAACTGGGTGGAATGTTGTTTAAATACCTTATACGAGATCTGACGTTTCGAACAAAATTTAAGTACGTCTGTAATTTAAGCGCATGAGACTGAAATAATGAAAATACTAATTTGAACTGAGTGTTAAATTGAATATTAAAGAAAACAAAATGGATTCTAGGAGAAAAATTCAATTTAAAAATGACAACTGAAAAGTAAACTGGCTAAATTTAAATTTTGAAAAAGCAAATTTCATCTACTATTACTTCCAATATGTAGAAAATCCACTGGTTATAAACTTAAAATTCTAAACAGAACATTGCACAAAAGGCTTCATGCTTGTTCTGATTTGTTTCTTGTCAAGAACGTATGTGTAATAATGCATTACAACTCAATTTGTATTTGTTAATTTGATGTTAAACCTCTAAACTGACCAACATTTATTTTTAGATCTTAATAAAATAATTGTGAGTTATGTTTAAAGCAGCTTTATGTATCACAATGATATTTCTTGTTCAGATCCTTGTTTCGATGTAAGTTTGAAATGTAGTCACATTATAATAAAAGCACAGAGCTATACTAACTAGTTTTTAGGCTTGTTATAGTTATCATAAGATTTAAATAGTTAATGTGCAAAAAAGCATCATTTATATTTTTCCAACAGCTTTACTGTAATAATAAAATAAACACGGACTTCAGGAAAAGATTTTGGAGATATTTTAGTTTTATGTTTTAGTTTATAAATTCTGAGCTTCGCCTAAAAATAAAACCGAGGAGCTCCCTTCCGCAGAGGCGCATGTTACCACGTACAAGAGGAGACAGTAAAGCTTCTCGGTTTCTCGTAATTTCTGCTGGAACTATTGCTTTCAGTATTAGTGTTACTTGATCAAACTTGTATTTTCAGTGATATATGAAGATGAATCTTACACGCGCACCCTGTTAAGGATGGCCATTTGTTATATTGATATGTGCGTTATACTGATATATGTAACACCTTCCCAAGCATTTTGAGTTCCTGTAAAGACATGAGATTAACTGGGACTTAAATCCTAGAACTCTTTGTAAGCAAATGGGAAAATTATTAAAACTATAATTAGCATAATTTTTTGAATAACTAGAATTCCATCTCTTCTTGTTTTGGACTCAGAATTAGGCTGTGATTTTCTTGGATGCGTCTTTCCCTTATTTTGTTTACACATTCAAGATTGACAAAATTGCGTAAGAATTAGTTTTCAGAATCTGTGAAGGGGAAGTAGGTAAGTACATCATTTAGACGAAGAAATTTTAAAGCATGAGAAACTATATATTTATTCTTTACTTTATTTTACCAGACGCAAAACGCTGAGAAAGAAAAGGAAGAAGAAGAAGAAGAAAATGAAGAGGAGGAGGATGAAGAGGAGGAGGAAGAAGAATAGCTCAAGTCTGAATACAAATGGCGACCCAAAAAAGCGAAGAAAAGGAAAGAAAGCATGCTCAGCTTCATTAGTTTTGTTCACAAAATTGCTCAGCAGTTTATACGCCCGAATGGAAAGAATTCGACCTTGAATGGAAACTTTATTGGAATGTAAATGAATTGTCTTCATCCAAGCTTTCAGATTTGCTCATATATTTCGGTTTCTTGTATATACTTTAAAATAATTATAAAATAGCAAATGCAAAAGTAACTTTCAGGATTTATTGATGATTAGTTTTGGAAATAAAAATATGGCCCAAAACCAAAACTGATTGTAACCTCTGTTATAGTTATTTAATTAATCAAGTGATTAAATAAAATTGAGTCATACTTGCTCAAAAATTTCATGAACTAAAAAAAGAATTGTTTTATAAAATTAAATGAATGATTTTCAGCAGATTCACTGCAATCCTAAAGGTACATTAAAAATAAGAGTTAAAATTAACATGAATTCATACATTATTAAGGAATAAATAATATATCAACATATAGCATAAAAGGAAATAAAACTGTTTAATAAAAAACAGATGTTATGTTCTTGGTAATAACTCGAAATGGTAAATTTTTTTAACGCATATAACCGGTCTCCCTTTTTTAAGCGCAAATTAGGAAAGAGAAATTTTTGGCAATTAAAATTAAAAACACAGTTTTGTTTCATTAACAACTGAGAATTGAAATGTCAAGTTACGATAATTAAAATACTTTACAGTCTTATATAAAAAGATAGATACGTTTTTTGAAAAATCCTACACCTTTCGATAATTTCTCTAGATTTTCCGAACAGCAAAACGAAATGTGACAAAAGATTGGTTCATAATTAATTACACACAGATAAGAAATGTAAGGAAGGGTTAATAGAAATATTATAAACAACGGAACTGCTGTTTTACATTGAATCCCAAGAACTGTTGTATAACATCGAATTACATTTACAAGACCTAAAAATTAGGCAAAACACCTAAATATAGAAATATTTTCAAAATTGTTCCCGGTTTTACAGATAAGTGAATTCTTTATTTTCTTACACAGAGGTTAGATGAAGATCAGGCAGCCTGGTATAGATAGCATTTAAACAAAATATATAAAAAATATTCTTGAAGAGAAACTGATAACTAAAGATAATTTTGGGAATTAAAAATACAGCGTCAATTCAAGGTGTAAGCTATGTTTACTTCATTAGTCTTAGTAAGGAAATTTATTTCGTAAACGTTAACTGTTTGTAGATTTCTTTCCTTTCTTTTATATCAAATGAAAATTCTAACAGTGTCTAACAGATGCAAAATGTGTTATATATTACTTCTTTTAGTATCATATACTGAAATAATTAAACTGAACTATTTTAATCTTAATTCAGGCGAATCAAGATCTTCATTTGCTCAGACAAGAACAGTAGGCTCATATCTTTTGAACCGTAAAACATTTGCGACTCAATATGACAACGATCTCAGCATTTTCTGAAGAAAAACTTATAAATGGACATAATTACTAAACCATATAATACACATCAAACATGTATGATCTCAAGAAAAGTTTGAAGTTACATATTAGAAGTTTTATTATAAAGGATATTTGTTAAATATAATAGTTATGTATTACTTAAAATTATCTTAAAAGAGTTGGTTATAAGCAAGATTTATAGCAAACATACCAGTAGTCAATCAACTATCGATGCAATTTTACAGAATTGCTAGCATAAATATACTTTTTATCATTATTTTTATCGTTGGTTTTTTATCTATAACATCAGGTAACAAATAAAATATTCAGAGTTATATTAAAAGTTGAAATCTTTAATTTCTTTACGGTCCAAAAGTCGGAACACTAAATTTTCGAAGTACCTCTGTAGAGTGATTAGGTACTTTCTGGAAGAAGGAGAAGGGAAAAATGAGCAACGCCTTCGCCGGGAATCGAACCACGGACCTTTGGAATACTCTCTTAGCGTGCAGACCACCACGTTACGAAGGTGTGTTAAAATGTAGGGAGAAATACCTTATATCTTATGTGACTTGATACGAATCATTCAGATATATAATGTCTGAAACTTACATTTTACTTTGTATATTGCAATTAATATAATTGCTAAAATGCACACAAAATAGTAAAACGCTTAACTGCTGTATCACAAAATGCTTTAAGAGTTGAATAACTTACAGCCTTAAATTATTAATCATTTTCCTTAAAGCCAGTGTTTTTAATAAAAAGTCTAATTTAGTTCTCGACTTTTTATTCCTGCAGTGCAACTGCACTATTTCTGGAATAGTTATATGAAAAACATCATTTTCCGTGACTAACAAATATAATTTTTTTTACTTCGTTCCGTGATTTTAATGTTTTTTTATTTCTTACGTTTCTTTCTTTTTTATTTTGCTCCTTAGCATGACACAAGTACAAATAATCCTTTCTACATTTCAGACATTTCAGGGATACATTGTGCTGCTTCATCAGTCTCATCTCCAAATAAATCGAATTGCCCTAGTCTTCAGACGGCAGAAGCTTAGAATGAAGCAAAACTTCTCTGAGTCTCTTTTTCTAGGTTTCATCCTGTTTCTCATTTTTTATTTCTTATTTTTTTTTTGCAGCTTTAATACATATCCTTTCTGTATATTGAAGCATTTGAGAAAAAGTCACAACTGTAATTAGTTTTATAAAGTATTACCGCTTTCCTTGCTCTTGCTCTCTTGGTGTCCAGCTAACATTCGAGGATCTATGATTCAAATTACGAAAGCATAGTTCCGGACTAAAATGTAGTGATGTTTTTTCTCAATTACTCTTAAAGTGTGGGTGAAAACAAAAAATCATTGCATTCCTTCATGTCTGTTCTCATAGTGTAAGTGGTAAGCACAAACAGGTAGCATTGGAAACCCGTGATTAGAATCGCGACGAAGATGTAGCTGATTTCTCACACTTCCGGTTCCGAAGTGTATAACGATCTCTATAGAAATTTCGAAATTCAAGACTATGGAGGGCGATAGTTCTTCAAACCTGAATTGTTTCAAATGGATCTCGTGCCTCTCCCCTATCCCTTTGTATTCTTTCTCTATTGGAGAATACAAAGGATTGTCGCTTTAACTCCATGTATGCTTTCATGATGTAAGTAGATAGTTAACACATCCAAATTGGAAAATCTGTGGTTCGAGTCCCTAAAGAGTAGTTCATACTATGCCTTTCGTTCATATTACTCCTCCTACTGTTCGTAATATATTACTTTTCACGTTCCCTCCGAAAAAAAAAATAATGTTTCTATACCTTATTTCGCTTTAGTTTCTTCTTCGCCTTGTCAGCTTCGACTTCCGATCCGTAAAGAACTAGTTCTTTTCAAAGGAGATGGCACAATTTTGTTTCTTCCAGTAGCGACATATCCAGTGACACTGGGTGTGACGCATTTCCAGAGCATTCAACTAGTTCTTTTTTGGCAGTTGATCCACAGATTTAATATTTTAGTATTAAATTTTATTTGTGTTCTCTTTCAACAGGCTCTACTAGCTCTTCTCTGCAAAAGGAAGCATTTAGTAATATAAGTAATTAAGTAATATAAGTAATATAAGTTACTGAATTAGATCTCTGCGGTTTTAATCGTATTTAACTATGATATAAAATTTTGAATTTTTTCGTGGAAGAATTAAGACATACTGTTCCGTTAATTCTTCGACGGTAACTGACATAAAAGATTGCAAAAACGCCGATCTTTCAATATCCAATATATTAATTTCAATATCCATTATAGTAGTAGTAAATAAACATAGCTTTTATAAATAGCAATAATTTATAATATTTATTTAATTTTTATAACTGTAATAAAAATTAAATAAAAGTTTGTAATTGCTAAAATTTTATAAAAATCGAAACTTAATTACAGAAAAAAGTCAGTTATACTTGGTAATAAATAAGATTTTTGAGAAATATATGCCTAAGATTTCCTCTTCAAGCGAAACTTTCAAACATGATTATCTCTAACATGAATTAGTAATCAAATTAAGAACAATTAAATTATAAGAAGAGCTTGAAAATTAGAGTAATGATTTTTACAAATAGTATAATACTGTTTCAGTGTTATTTGTCTTTTAAAAGAAAGATATTGTTTAATGCTTTTATTTTAAAAATACTAAATTACTCGTGTCACTTTTCTTCGGAATCCATAAAGCTACTATAAAAATTATTATAAGAATTATGGCATTATTACTTAAAATTTTTACCTTTGCTGAACTACAAATTAATGTGATTTTTATATAGAGCGCATTTACCTCTGATTTAAGTGGAAAACTGTTTAAGTACGGGTTCTGATATTAGGATATTTTGGTTTTCCTCTTTTCCGCGTTCCAGCATTAAGCAGAAAGCATTTAAATATGATGATGTCAATAAGTATGATGAATGGCATTTAAATATGATGACGCCTTAAAGCGGAAAATGTGGAGTGGAACATAAATTTATTCACGAAAACAAAACATTTAGGATTTTTCAGTGTAACTTAAATATGCAGGGAATCGCAAGTAGAAGCGGTAATTTATAAATACATGACGTCTACCTGGCATTTATTTGTTAATGATTAATTATCTTAGCTTCTTGGGCAAGCTATTAGAACAATGTTTTATCGAATGGTTACAAAAAGAGTTGTATTTTGCGGTAAAGCATTTTCCAGCAATGCCATTATATTAGGCTGATGCAGACTCATTTGATTTCTGGCACATCCACAAGTGATAGACTGAATGATGCTTAAAGAATAATTTCGACCAGACCAGTAACTGGCATTTTTATTCGTATTTCAGGTATTATAAAAAATTCTGGCCTTTGTGCCTTTGCGCTTTAATTTATAAAAAGAAGCCAAATGCAATAGGACGTAACAATCCTGCTAAAGGGTATACCTAGTATGTAGTGACGTTTAGATAACTAGTACACCTCAAAGTTCTTCATGCGGCTGGCAGAAGTTTAAGAATAGGCTAGATTTAACGCTGTTGTTACTACTAATAGTAAGAATGTAAAAATTTAATTACGTTTTGTTAAATACCTAAATATTTGCGAAGGCATTTATCCTTTTTCGGTCTTAAAACGTTACTGACTTCCAGTGTTTACTGTAGCCCTACTTTCCATATCTGCTTTCATTACATGCAAACTTCATTCACTTTGTCAGTTACTATACTGTCATGCATTTTAGCAAATACCATCTATTTTATCGGTTATTGTGAAATTTTAAAGTTTCTGCAATAGTTCTTTCACTTTAATTTACCTTTGATTATTTTTCGTTGAGTTTATTTATTTTCCTCTATGCCTGAAAAATATAAGTACTAATTTCTAACTTTCCGCCTTTTCATCTGGTTCTTTAGCAATCCTATTTATTAATGTCTTTAGAATACCATTTAAAAGGAAGAAGTATATTTTGTTCTTCAGTAATGTATTTTGTAGTTTTATTTTTTTGTTTTCATCAACAATTATTTTTTCTATTTTCTATAATACATTTAACAATCATCAGTTCTTTTAATGAGTTGTCATATCAGTCCTTCTAAATTTAATTTTATAATGTTTCCCGTACCACTGTAATCATCCTCACGATAGCAGTATTTTTAATAGCTAAATCATCCGTTTTATTCTTCAGTTCAGCTTCAGATAGATATGCCTACTATGCAACCTTTGTGCTTTGTTCACGTTAACCTTTATGCAAGGCCCGAACTAGACATTCTGTAGTCCAGTGTAATCCCTGTAGCTCCTAAATTATGAATCTCCATACTCCTTAAATTCTAAAACTTTCCCTTCCCTAATTTCTGCCATCTGGTATGACTACATCGGTTGCATTGGTTCTGGAGCCAGGCCTGCCTCTGTGATGTTTAGTGACTAATGTAACTGAAACATCCACTTTTTCCTCCTGTTTATGAAATGTATGTCCTGTTTTCTTTCCCTGCTTATTAATTATAATCAGTTGCAATTATATATCGGAGAATAATTTATAGGAGCTCTTCTCATGACCGCATAAATGTTTAGCTCTGGAGCTCAGTTAGGTACAGCAAGTCCGCTTAAAAATTATGAGGCACAAAGAGTATTAGTTGGATAGAATTTGATGTTTTATTTTACCTTTTTTATGACTGAAGAAGAATTTATTTATAAGTACTCCATAGCCTTTTTAGAAATTTTCATGCATAATATGTTAAGGAAATCGTGGATATTTCCATTAATTTATTTCCATCGTAGTTAAAAATTAAAATATTTATCGAAAATTAAAATATTTCTCAATTTTATAATTGCAGTTTTGTGTATTTTACTTACAAAATAAATTATTATTAGTTTTACATTATGGTAAAAAATACACATCTTTGCAGCTTCGAAATAGTAACGATTCGAGTTTTGCTTCAAAACTTTTAGTACGTCAAATATGATATATCACGATTGAGATTTTAAGCTTAAGAGAGGAGGCTTCTAGCTTATTTTGAAGCTTATATTAAGATTAAAATAAACACCGATTTATTTATTTATTCTGCTGATTACAGCAGAGAGGGAGACTATAATTCGCATAATCTAGTCATAGAATGATAAATGAGTAGTAGCATTAAACTTCAGAATTTAACCTTAAATTTGCGAGTTTATAGAATGCGTGCAATACTTGCATAAATCTATAACTAACTGCACAGAAATTTATCAAAAACATTCGCGTAACAAAGGGTCAGTATTTAGTAAACAATCTAATTATATGTGTGCGAGAGACCACGATGTTTTTAATGAAAGAAGTTTGAATGCAAAACAAAAGTTATGTTCTCGGATATTACTTGAAATGACTTTCAATATTCTTGGTTATCATATATATCTAATCTCATGAAAATTCCATCATACAAAGGTTTTAATTCATTCATTTATTATTTATAAGGAACAGTTTATATACATAGTTATTCGGATGCTTCATCAGAATTGATAAAAGTGAGAACTTCTTCCTTGAATTCATTGTAAGAACCGACGTTGTGTCCTGCACCCTTTATTGGAAAAAGTTTGGCATTTGGAAATAGCTGTTTAATTTCTGGTTCAACTTCCCCTCTGAAAATGCAAAAGAATAATTAAAAATTTGAAAATCAAGCATTTGGTGCTTAAATATGCATATCATCAGAAATAAATGAAAAACAATCTAAGGAGAATATTCATGCAAAGTCTGTCAGGTCATAAGTATCAGGTCATCACATAAGTCTATTAGGTCTTATATTTTCGCAACCGCTGGTCGTAGATACAGTAACAAAAATATTTTAAATGACGCAAAATTTCATGTTTTGGCATTTTCAAATTTAATTTAACCAATTTTATAAAATTTACAAAACCTAACTTTTTATACGGTGCGCCAGTCCTTATACTCGTTATAAAAAATAAAACAAAAAAGGTTTGACTCTTGCACGACAAAAATTGACCCAGATATTTAATTTAAAATTTTGGGAAAGTTGACGTAATTTTCAACTTACCATGAGGTTCTATTAATAAATAAACTAGAATAAGTCGAGGTAGATCTTTTTCCCTTATATAACATCCAATAGTATTTTTTTGTGATTTACTAGTGCGTAATATTCTCTATTTATAATTTTGTTATAAATGGTATTTTGAAAGAATTTTCACGCAAGTAATTTATAAGTTTTTATACGCTAAAAATAGATATGTTATTAATATTCTCAAGAATTTTTTTCTAAAGAATTATTACTAACAATCATAAAAAATTCATTAAACTAAAAATATTTAAAATTTTAATTCCTGCAAATAATGTTACTATTTGGTTACGTGCCGATACTGCAGCATCCCAGAGTGTTTTCTAGAACACAGATTCCATATGATTCTGGAAAAAGAAAAGAAAAAAACAAAGGAGAAGGAAAATATTGTTTTTGAAAAAATCTCTGCTGAGCAATACATTTCATAACAATCTATATAAAAATTATTGTCATTTAATCTATTAATATCAGCGACTTTGTCTAAATTGATATTTTATTTTTATTTACATATAAATGCTTACGTACACTGCTCAAAAACTCAAAAAAAAAAAAAAGCGCGACTTAGGATATATATTAGATTTATATATAGCACTATTCTAACATAGGTATTTTGACACAAAATCGGACTTTTTCTGAAATAACATACCAATTTTTTTCCATATTTCGATTCTACGACTCAAATTATGCCAGAATACTAAGTTTTGTAAAAATCGTAAGAGTAGTTTTTAAAATATTAGCTCTCAAAATTTTAGCTCCTCAATGTTAATTGAATTTGGCAAATATTTATTAATATCTTTTTTTATTAAACTTTTTGATTTTCCTTTTCACATTTCGAAATTTAGGTTCATTCCAAATAAAATTTACCCATTTTTTGTGTTTTATTTTTTAAATTTCTATTTTTAAATAATTTTTATAAATTTTTCGAAAAAAAATTTTGAATTATAACCTATAAAATTTTTACCAGCATCTTAAAGTAGGTGTATTTTTAAGCATATCTGCAAAAAATTAGACTTTCTTATTCAAAATTTTCTAAGATATACACGAATTTACATATTTTCGCGTTTTAAAATTTGGCATCTTTTTTTTGAGCGATAATAACGCCAAATATGGTTTATGGATTTTTGTTACAGTGAATTGCCACAGCTATTTTTAACCTTAAATTTCAAGTAAAATTTTACGGAGAATTAATAATATGATATTGTTTCTCTCAAAGATGCGTAATAAATATTTATTAATACTATATGAAAAGCTATTTTTTTAAATTATAGAAGATATTATTCAAATTTTTAACTATTTTTTAATCTTTCTTTCTTTCTTCTTTTTTTTAAAAAAAAATAAGAGTAAATTTTTGTAAGAGTAAATTTTTACCTTCGGCGTTTTATCGTCTGCTACTTTACTTTAACTTCGCTTAATTGAATTGTCTAAAACTGAGAATTTTCGTTGATGTTTGTTTGAATTTTATGAAAAATATTTTATGACATTAACTGCATAATTTATTCTAAACAAACTGTTGCTTATGAAGTGGCTGAAAGAGAGGTGATACTATCATCCATATTTTTTAAATCACAGTGTATTTTTATAGAATATAAGATTTAGAATAATCATTTTTAAAAGTCAAATTTGATATAAAACATACAACCTTAGAGACTGAATTAATGGAAGTTCAATGGTTATGTAGAATGATCTGCAGCTACTTATGGCTGGATAAGTCAGCAGGTTCTGGGGACAATCCTAAAATTCTGATTTAGAATGTAATTGTCAAGAACTGAATCCTGATATCAGTAGTATAATAAGTAATTATTACGGTTATAAATAATTCCTCTTATAAAGTAAATACAAATATTTAAAAAAAACTTTCTCTCTGAATGCAAATATTTTTAATTTTATATTAATCAAGATTGCACACGATATTATTATTTACACTTCAATTTTTACCGTCAACTCTAGTAGAAGTTACAAATCAATTATATTTAATGAAGGATTGAATTGGATTGGATGGATTATTTAATTATGGCAAAGCACACGAGGGCTATCTGCCTAAGACGAGGGATGCCTCCGTGGAGGACATTTTTAAGGGAAACTGGCTCGTATACACGTTACACATGGAGAAATCCACGAAAAGCCCATGCAGCCAGCCCGTTAGCGGGATTCGAACCTCAGACCGAACTACCAGTGTTCAGGTCTACCACTCGGCCGCTGGTGGGCTATTTAATTAAGGAATGACCATCTAAGTTTAGAACAAGCGTACCGTAACAGCAATTCAATTATTGTCGCCGTATCTTTCAGTTGCTCCCGATTGGCAAGCTACATGATTTTTAATGAGTAGTCGAGTTTTGCTAGTAACTTCACTTGGAAATCGCGCTTAAAAAAACTAGGTAGTGGTTATTTGAACATAGAAAGAACATGGGAGCTATTTGATAAGATGCTTTCATAGAGAACCTTGTAAGGAGAACATAGAAACATGAAAACCAACCAGCAGCCTGGGTTAGACGTCGCAACAAATAATAGTATTAAAAATCTTCAAATGCTAGGAACTGATGGGCTCCAAGTAAATCTCCAATTTAATATTTATTTGTAAATATTTAAAAAATATTGTTGTATTTTAGACGAAAAAGCAGAATTAAGTTTTGTTATTCGTTAGTTAACAACCAAGCCGTAGTGCAAATGAATATTCATTTTCTTTGCAATAATTGTATTCACTTAATATTCTTGGAATATGAGCTAAAGAGGAATGTTCTCGCAAGATAAAAGAAGTGTTTAAATCCAGTGATATTAGGTTTGTCTTACAAGCTCAGGATCAAAACGGTTCTGCAATTGCCGAGTAGTTGACTGTAATGGCTCTGAATTAAGCAGATGACTTTTAATCCTACGTATTCAGTCAGAAAACGTATTCCAAATGTTTTGCATGCATGCCAATGCATCTTTTCATTATTAATAACAGTCGGAGAAACCGCTGTGTTCCGAAAATAAGTATGTGTACTCAATCGTCCTGCATGTTCTTCAAATTTCTCTTCTTGTGATTTTTTTTTCTTTCCCTAAAAACTAAAGTTGCCTCTCAAAGGAAAGTTTTTTGACATTGAGATACAAAAGGAGTATGACATTCTAATTTAGAGGCATGTCAAAAACAGATCTATACAAGCCTTCTCTTCATTACAGTTGTGCAGTCAGACAAAAAGTTGCATCAGCGCAAATTCTATAATCTATTTTTATTACACTCTGATTACATTATTATATACTAAATATACTAAACTTTTTACTTCAGCTTAAGACTTGGAATTTTTGAGGAATTGTTGTCGGAACTAGGACTTAGAAGATAAGTCAATTAAATTCGATAACCCAATAAATTCAAGGTCGAAGGTTCATATTTGATGGAGGGAGAGGAAATGTTCAGTTGGGTCCATACCCTAAGTATATTGCTTCGATCTTTATTTTTCCATAAAAGCAAAAAATTACGCATGGTATTAACATATAACGCATAGCTTCAAATTAAATTTAATAACCAGTTAACAGAGTAGTTATTATTAAAGTTCCACATGAAACTGTCATAAAAGGAAAAACTACTGGATCAAATGCTATCAATTTGTAATCGTGTAAAGGTATCGTGATGAATTGGATTATTAAGTTACGTCAAAGCAGGGCTATCTGCCTAAAAGAAGGATGCCTTTGTGAAGAACTTTCTAAGGCAAACACGTTGGCATACACGATACACATGAGAAAATCCACGAAAACGCCATGCAACCAGCCCGTTTACCGGGATTCGACCCCGAAGGGAACTACCAGTGTTCAGAGACTTTACGCTCGGCCGTTTATGGGCCTTTATGAAATGGAAGGCGATAACTTTATTTAAAATGATTGTCAGAAATATCAAGATATTTGAAAAGTTGGGCTTTTTAATATACTGCGGAAGGCCTAAAGAAAAGAGCCAGAAAGTAAATGCCTGAGGAAAAGAGAAGAAGAAAAAAAAGTTTGGGTAAAATTAGTATTGTATTTTTTTAAATTAAAACTTTTAATCTTATGATATTTGATTCTACGATTTCAAAAATAAAATTTGACTAAAAATATGAATACATTTAAGAAACCAAATGTAGGATAAAATTGGTAAAGCAATGGGACAATGATAAAACTGTTTAAGCAGTGTATGCAAGTCATCCTAAGTTAAATGTCGGTTATAATCTTCCTATTTATATATATCTTTCTGAAAGGAACATTGAAAGGCGTGTTAACTGTGCTTTGTATTTTCTCTTTTAATAAATGCAGTTTTCAAACGCATCGTAGTCTGGGTTACAAAGTTCCTCCGAAAGAACGCAATCAATAATAAAAATCAAATTCTGGAAAAATTTATATTATCAATATATTTAAAATGCTTAGTTCGAAGGAATAAATAGAAAATTTAAAACAATTATCTGAAGAGACAATGAACACAAACAATTAAAATAAAAGTATAAGAATTAAAAAATACCTAAAATAATAAATGACAAAAAAATATATAAAGAAAACTATTTGAAAAAAAAATAACGCTGAACCTTTATTACGCAGTTCGAATAGGTAAATAGAAATTATTTTTAAAACAGTATTCGAAAAAAAAAAAAAAAAAAAAAAAAAAAAAAAAAAAACGTGCAATTAAACAATAAAATGAAATTCGAAAAAGAAAAATTACTTAAAATAATAAGTTATAATTAAAAATATAATATAAAGAATATTATTTGGAAAAAAGGAACGATTGTGACTTTTTTTCCTTCACGGGAAAGGAAACTAGGTTGCCATATATTAAGAAGTTCGCCAAGTGAAGTATTTTGGCGCAAACTGACAAAAAAGTGCCAACATAAATTTGTGAATTTTCTCCGTAAATTTCGCTCCAAATTTTACAAAATTTCATATTTAGGCGTAATTGAGTCGTAGAGATCGAAATATGTAAAAAAAATTGGTATGTTATTTCAGAAAAGTTCGATTTTGTGTCAAACTACTATGTTAGAATAGTGCTATATATAAATCTAATATATATCCTAAGTCGCGCTTTCGAGACATAAAGAACGCAATTTGAATTTTGTCAATCGGCCCAGTAGATCGGGAGATATAGGACTGTCCCATTTTTTTTTTTGAGCAGTGTACATTTGTTTGTGTACGGCCCATGACTATCATTTTCAACTTAAAGATGAAATATTTCAATCAACTTTTGTCATTAGAAATCAAGAACTTTGTACATAATTTCCTATAATAAGTATAAAATTTTGCCAGGTATAAGTGCAGAAACAGGGAGAACACATAAAAATATGGAGTTTTGTAGTTTTAAAAAAAATTATCTTTTTAAACCTAACAATGCCAAGACATGAATATTTGCATCATATGGAATCTTTTTGTAGATGGAAGTATATATTTACGATTAACGGTTGCGAAAATAAAGGCCTGATAAGGACTTTTGTGGACACGGTGTGTATGTGCATATACACATTTATAAATTCATCTGAAATTAAATAAAATTTAAAAAAAAATATTAGCGTTTTAAAAAGTAGTGCATAAAAATATCTCGAACCTGATGCAGATATTTATCATAAAAAATCATGTTTCACAAGTTTTCTGATTTTATGTATGGATTTCTTAATTTTAACAGGAAGTGAATTTAACTGGGTTATCCTCAGTTACGCATAAAATTATACGTGATGCTGCATATGAAGTGTGTTAAACTGCATATACGTTAAGCTGCGCATGAAATAATCAGTTTTTGGATGGGAACCGCATGCATTAACAGATAACACCCAAATTCGTAGCATTTCAGAATCAGTAAAGAACCCTAAAATTACTTAATGATGATGGACACTGCATTATTTTTTCAATTCATAACTAGTGTTGAAACGTTAAAGTATGGGTCTTTGAAGATGAACCCAAATCAACAGTGGTGAAAAGACAACGAGCAATGAGAAAATTAATGTATATAGTTTTCTTCAGATGTACAGAACTGGGGAAAGCCATTAAGTTAGAGGGATAGAAGGTAGTTAAATTTTTAGTGAAAAATAGGAGACTCATTCTGCAATACATCTTATCATTCAGCAAGATTGACAATTGAGTTTCTTGAGCAAAAGCACATTAAAGTACCCTGTTCCTGAATATACACCTTATTCTTCTGATCTTACCATGCGTGACTTTTGGTTATTTTTTAATTTAAAACAAGATTTACGTGACCGTCGTTTTTCGTTCCGAAGATGAGATTTAAGAGGTTATATATTTTGGATCATTTTCAAGAAATGGAGAGCGTGAAGCTTTTAATTTGTGCAAAGTTCGCCTGCAAAAGTGCATTGATGTTGGAAAGGACTACTTTCAACGCTTCAAAGATATGGCAAGTTTAACTTGTACCATTTAGCTGTATCTGAAACGTTTCAAAGTGACTATCATACTTCCAGTTACAAGAATGTATTAAATGACGCAAATATTCCTCTTTTGTCATTTTAAACTTCAAATAAACACTTTTGTACAAGTAACGAAATTATATTTTTATAATGTCCCTTGGTTAATTTTAGTAAGAGTTTATGCTCATTAAAAAAACATAAAGTAACTCCGGTACGACAAAAATTGACTTGGATATTTAATTTAAGATTTGAGGTCATGTTCTGGTGTCGTACACAAATTGAAGACCGAAATATAAAGTTAGGCAAAGCAACAATCTTGTGTTTGTTGTAGATTTTAGTCAAGTATGAGTTTATTCCTTTTAAATTTTTCATTTAAAAAAAACATTGTTTTCTTCTTTCCTGTGGGACCGTCAAAGTCGCAGCTGGTGTGACCAGAAGAGAAAATAAGATATTTGACAGTAATCTCATATCTTTTTTTTTTTTGAATATCTGATGGAAGTTGTTAAAAGATCAAAATTTTACTTTGACAGATTGATTGGGTAAAAAGTACCTGGCTAGAGTCAGGCAATTCTTAATATTTCTGTGATGAGTCCGAATAAATTGTCATATTATTTGTTTTGACAAATCAGTTTTTCCAGAGTCAACAGGATATACGAAAAACATTTAAAACTATCGCTTCTGCTTTTTTTTCTGGCACAGAATTATTTTTCTTCATTATTTTTCTTCAAAGCATGCCTTGATTAGTCATGAAGTCCAGTTGTTTGATCAAATAAGTGATTGTATGCATGTAATGATAACACCGAGCTGCTTCTTTTATTGATAACTTCTTTTAACTTTTCATGAAAAATTCAGTTAACAAAGGAAGTATTTAACGATTTAATTGACAAAACCATTAGTGCCTTTGTGTTTTTATGGCTATAAATATCATGTAATTGCTCTTGTAGTCTATCGTTATATAAAAATCTGCAGAACATTGATTATATTTGAGATCATTATTCATTATTTCTTTTCTGATGAAAAAGAATTTTTCTCCAATGCATTCTTGAAAACACATTTTCTTTTCCTTTTCCTAATTATAGACCTCCATAACCTAAATTAATATGCAGTAATAAAAACAACATTAAGCCTAACCTGTTAGAACTCTTGTGTTTAAAAAATTCGCGACGTAAATTATATCATAATTTGTCATAATTCATTAAACAATCATTGAAAAGGCGATTTATTATTAATTAAATGTTTTTTATTTCTTCTCACAGACATACGTTCAATAAATATTGCAACTAATTTCCTAGAATACTACCTTGTTTATTTAATTTGGAAACATTTCCGTTTACAGAATGATTCGAGAGCTTCGAGCTTCAATCGAGATATGTATTTTGCAGTATGCGCAGCGAAAACGTAACTTTTGTTTACACAAATAGGACCGCTATTTTTATTTATATATCGAATTTCGTTATTCCTAAAATTAGAATGGTCAAGTAATGGCAATGCGTCTAAATACGCAACTATTCGGTGTTACCCTTTTTTAACTCCGCTCTTTACTAAGCGGGATAAAGGGACTAGCCTGAAACCGCCGGTCTAAGACTGATCCCGAGCAGTCAGATTTTCTCAATTCATTCAGCATACTCGGAGGAATTTCGAAGTTGATGGTCGTCCTCAGAACATCTGAAGGAATCTTAAATAGAGCCCGGCTCGTGATAATAAACCCGCCTTAAGTATAGATCTTAATGAGCACAGTAAACAACGAGCGGAAATAGTGAGATAAAGGCATCCAGTTCGTTATGACATGAAAATGTTTTTAAACAAAATATAATTAATGAAATAAAGTTAAAGACAGTTATTGAATACATACACTTTAAACGGCGATTCGGTGCCATATGCAAATAACGCTGGCCCGTTGTATACCCCTGTGCTGTTGGTAAGTTGAGCTAAAGGATTGTTTGCGACCCTAGCCAGCACTTTCATATTGAATTTCCATCGACATTTGCCGTCTGAGCAAGTCAAAGGTAAGAGGTCCGCATCTGATTCCTTCCGTAATTCTGTCAGATTGGCCTATAATAAATAAATCAAAAAATATTTTTTATTAATTAAAAGTAAAATATTTAGAGGGGAAATAAAACTAATATTAATTAATCTTTTCAAACAAGCTTTGAAAAAAAAACTAATAATGATTTATTGTTGTTTTCTAAGTCTTGGTTGGAAGGTGCTATAACTGTAATGCTAATTTTAAATGATGAGCATAAGGTTTTATTTGTCTTAAATTTTAGAATTGTCTAAGCATAATAATTTAGAATAATAATGTTTAAAGAAAGAAAAATATTTTAGAGTAATAATGTTTTCAAAGAAATCGTAGAAATCTTTTTAGGAACTGAATTACTGGTGAATGTTGTAAATTATATGTATGTCAAAAGGCTCTAAGCGACTTATTTGAAAATTCCCTTAATATGCAAATATTTTTTTCTCTGCGAATCTCTGGTATTAGAATCCTAGAAAATATTTACACAGAGATATCTGTAATTTGCATGTTATTAAGCATATTATACATTGCGGTATTGTAAAACTAAGTAAAAGGGAAAAATCAAGTTTTCGGAAGGAATACTGCATGAAACTCAATGTACAACAAAAAAGTGTGAAGTAGAAGAAACATAAAATTTGTATAATACTAGCAATTATAGATTACCTGTGTCAAGTTAACTGACTTACGAATTAACTGGGCTCTGTCTAAACTAAGCTTAAACTTTTTGTTGTGGAATTATGAAAAATTTTGATCGCAAGCCATCAACGCAGAACAAAACTGTCTACGGAAAATACAAAAAGACGAAGAAAGTTGAAACTTTCTAGGGATAACAGAAATGATAACAGATCATATTAACTGGTAATTGATTTTGAAGAAAAATAATTTCTGGGAGTATACTTTTCGCACAGATTCCATTTTAAGTACTCCGTACCAACTCTGAAATATGCCTTTTATACATTTCTAAATTATTTTGTGATTCGAAAACACCAGATTTTTATTTCGCTTGAAATATGGCAAATACTAAATTGACAGATGGACGTTATTTTCTATAAGCTACGTGTAAGCAGGAAATACGTTTTAATGATTAATATCGCATGAGGATATTTAATTCTATTTCTATAGAAATAAATCGGATATAAGCAGAATATTTTCCCAACATGTACGAATTATGTAAAAAAAAATTTGAAGGATATATTGAATAGATAGAAAATTTTTACTAATACGTTTTTATTGAACTTAAATTTGTAACTGTGAATAGTAAATATATCTTCTTTGTTACTGGTACATTATTTCGAAATTGTTATTGAAAAGTGAACAGAAAGCTTGCTCGTCAAACATAAACAAATAAACATCTTCTATATTATAGGTAATACTAAGTAGGTAAAGTAATAATAGGCACAAAACAAGTGAGGGGGCCTGGAAGCAGGACTGGAGGAAATGCTTTTCGCTATTCAATATAGTTATCTGCTATTCTTAAACTCTGCCGCCTTGTGCAGCCACTAAGATTTCACTACCTCCTGGCGCCGAATCTGCGTAGAGTGCCTCCCACTGTATTCTAAGATTCTTTCTTTCTTTTTTTTTACATTTGTGTTTCATATGTTTGTTGTGTTATATTGTGTTTTCATATGGGAAAAAACCTCATGCAGCGAGTCTATTCGATGTGTAGCAAGTACCAGTATTAAGTGATTTTCAACCATTCTATTTTATTATGTTCATAATTTTAAATAATTTAAAAAAAGGATTCAACTGTTTTAAAACAAGCAATAACTAAACACTAGCTGTTTAATTATATTTTGTGCTGTGCGAGTAAAATTTAAGATGTAATACGGAAGAGTACATCCTATTCTTTAAGATGCAGTGCATATTAGTTAATATACTGCCGTTTCTACGATGTACAGCTGTCACTAGTTGAATTTCCTGTTAGCAGATTTAGGTGTGTATATGGCAATCCTTTCGGTAAGTGATACGGTGAGATTTAAATTAAATTTCAATATATTTCTTAAAATAACATGCCGAAGAATAAATTTTAAAAATAATGAAGCTACTTGAATTGGCGTAAGTTTTGCATAAAATTGCATAGACTATCTTCGAGGGTTTGAACAGAACTTTATTCAACTATAGGACTGAAAATGACGAAGTGGATTGCCTGTGCTCACGCGATAACAATAAATCAGAAAATTTGAGAAGTTTTCAATTAAGGAATGAAGCACATCATTTGGTGCTGTCTATTGACAAAAAGTGAAAACAGCTATGAACTAATTTCCTTGAAGCTTTTCTACAGTTGTTTCCACTTTTATCAATAGATGGCGCAGGTAGATTTATTTCTTTCTCCAACCGGAACCTTCTCGAATCTTCCGGTCTGTTGTTATCGCTTGAACACAAGCTCTTCTGCTCAGTTATTTTCACTTCTGCCGCTAAAGATGAAGGCTGTATTAAAACCTCTGAAGGTAATTTATGTAACTTACACTGAATTTCCTTGCTACAGCATCTCCAACATTCATTTATGTAATTGATTTAATTTGGTTTAAGGGTGAAGCTGACCCGCCTAGCCAAATCAATGTTTAGACATGAAATCGTAGAGAGACTAGCCCGTGCAAAAACAAAAACTAATCTTGCTCCCTAATACATATCGTAGACATTTTAAAGGGATATAAACAATCCGAAATTTAATTAACCTAATAATTTTCCTTCGTTGCAATCTGGTGAATTTTGACAGACTGTAAGTATAGCTTCACAGTATGAATCTGAAAGAACAAATGAACGGCAAAGAATTAGTGGCTTTGAATAAGTTTACGCATACGTATTTGTTTACTTACAAGAGGCAGAAGTTTTTTTTTTTTTTTTTTTTTTAGGTTATCATCGGTTATTGGTTTTGTAACCAATCTCATTGTGACTTAGTAACTGACAGTTTTTACCTACGGATTTGAGTATATTTTAATGTCGGCAGTAACTTATCAAAAATAATTGAAGGCCGTTCAGTGTAGGCAGTAAGGCAGACCACTCAAGTAAAATATGAAGCACCACATAATCAAACTAGCTTGCGCAAATGGGAATTATTTATAAAAACTTTATTTCAGCAGTTTAAAATTTAATGTTTTAAGTATGAAAAACTTAAATAACGAATTATCAAGCCACACTTTAATTTAAAAACACTGAAAAAAAATTCAGCAACCGTGTAGACAGATATAGTTTTATTTCAGTATGTTACCTGAAGGAAGTTCTTAAAATTTCGTATCAAATAAATATTTATTAATGTCTTTTTTCGCTATTTTTAAGTAGTAAGAAAACATTTAAATTTGATTATTTTTAGCTAAGCACTTAGTAAATATAACCGATAATAAATAACCAAATTAAGGAAAAAATATAGCATACCTTTCGTAACTGACTGTTTATGAAAGTAAGCACTGCCTTTTTAGCACTTTTCTCATCAGCATTTTCAGGAATAATTTTTAGTGATTCATTCAGCAACGCTACAGTGTGTTTTATGTCAGTTAAAGCACCCTTACTTACGCCGTTTGGTCTCATGTCCCCGACAATCACTTTTTCAACTCTGTCAGGCTGTTTAAATGAAATTTTCATATTACGAACGCATTAAGAAATTAACTATTCATATCTGAAAAAAATGCATAATTTACAATACAATTATGGTAGACATTTCCCCACACTTTTAAAAGAAAGAATATCTAATTTTAAATCACCGTCTATTTCAATATTGTACAACGCTCAGTCAAAAACAGTCGTATATAAACAAAAGTAAAACGATTTGAAACTTACGATTAAATTTTTCAAATCACAAGTTCAGGTTTCCGTTTCCTTTTAAATTTAAACTATTTAAAAATATGCGTTTTATAAAATAATTAGGTTAAAAGTCAAGTGAAAATTTATATGTATCATTTTTCATCGCGTATTTCCCCTATTTTTTAACTAATTTTAAATCGAGAAGAGAAAATCGAAAACGAGAGGGGAAATCTATGAGAGCAATTTAATTTCTGAATAACGCGGTTAGAATAAGAGCATAACAAATGAAAATAAGTCATGGGTAAACTATAGGTAACTACCACAATATTATTTTTTTAAAAGAAACCTACATTCCAATGAGAAAACATAGTAATATTAACTATAGAATATCTGACAGATATTGAGCTGATACGTAACGGTTACTGAAGCAAGTGAGACGTGTCCGGCTCAGTTATCTTGTTAAACTTCAAGGGTACCTCACATGAATGAGTCTTGACCTCAGTTCCTAAGAAGGACAGCTAAGGAAGGATGTAGAAGGAACGCGAACTAAAAGCGCGAATATCGAAAGATCGAATACATCAGCAATAGATAGGGCATGTAAATAAAAGAAGTAAAATCACATGTTTATAAAGTTTCTTAAGTGTTTTTATCTTTATGATGTTCTTATAAATGATCAAGTCTAGCTGTGTGGTGTTCTGTGGCGGAGTTGGCAGCATCGCCGATTAAGCGGATTAAACTACCTGAAAGCTTTAAAATATATGTTCTGACTTTCCGGATAAAATGAATACCAATGATGGTTGAAGAGTTCAAAAACAATGTTAAAAGATTATTTCAAGAAATAAGACTGGCGAACAAAATTCAACTTATTATATGAAATTAAAAATTTCATTCTTATAGAATATTTCTTTTGATTCCAAATTTTTTTTTATGAAACGTTTTCATTGCTCAAGATATTTCAGTAATTGCATGAGTTAAAAAGATATAAAAATAAGAAAAATACTTACTACTACCAATATTACTTTTACTATATTATATCATCTCAAATGAAACTTTATTTATATGCATAAAAATATGAGAATTGAAGTTTCGGTTGTACTTTGTTTAAAGAATGTTCCTTCTACGAGATCAGCGATAGTCAGCTAATATATCTAGATTTAATTTTTCTTAGTAGCATTTTTTAGTTTTTGCTAAGTCTTCGAGTAAACGTTCCACATATTCATCAGGCATTCCTCCGATGTTTTCATGGAAAAAGAATAATCTGATTGAACTGTGTGATTATCTCTGATAAATTACTAGAAACAAATTGCACCGTAAAATACTTTAAAAATTGCTCATTAAAATGCATTGAATTTGTACAGCTGCAATAAAAGCTCAAAGTCTATATTTTGGAGAATAAAATCTGCAGAATGAAAATAATTCTCTGATTCATCGCTTGACAAATAAGGAATTAGCTTCAATTTCAATAGTAGGATAAATTTTAGAAAACACTCTATGGATAAAGTTATTTTCTCTCTTTCTTCCTCATTTGAACCTCGCTCAACTTCTATTAGGAGCTGTTAACAGCTCCGTTTTTACATTCAACACAACATCGAATAACTCCTTCCGCCCTTTAAGATATGCGCAGCATGACTAAGCACGTGATGAACAATTTTCTATTTGAAATGTAAAAACTATTGCTGTTAAGTACTAATTCTTCTTTTATGAAATTTTTAAATGTCATGCTCAACTTTTTATCTGCATAGTTTTCCATTACAGCTGTATGTATTGTTACTGTAGTTGGACTATTGCTGTATCAATCATACGTCCTATCAGGATGCGAATACGAACTGATGACAAATGATTCAATGAAAGCAAACCTCCCTGATAAGTGAAGAAGGTTCCATTAAAATAAATGTCAGCCTGTGCAGCTCCAGCATGGCAAATGTTCGTGTAACATCTGATACTCATATTGCATTGCGCTTTGTCATTCCATAAAATTTTTCAAGCATAAGAAAACTAATTCATTTTCTGTTTTCCGTTTAAGCACTCTCATATTCTGAGTATAGAGCTTTCCGTCTATAACCATATCATCACTTGAAGTTTAAAAGATACTATTATTTTTGTTGATAATAAATTCTGTACGCGGGATATTTGATTCTGGAAATAAGAGGAAAATACATGTATCTCAATCAGAATAAATTTAGATACCATCAAAAAGGAAGGACATTCTGTATTGAGGAAATAGTGAGGCTTAGGTATAAAGTATTATTTCTGCATTCCAGAAGGTTGTTCGCAGAAGCTTTGCGACGTATCGAAGTGCCACTGTTTATAAAATGCATAGCAATTTCCTCTTCGCTGATTTTAAGTTAATCAAGCTAATCTAGATACGCATGAACGAGTGCATGAGCATCCCGTAGTTAATTTCACGTCATTCTTAAGATACGTGTTCTTGAGAGATGTATGCTGATATCTTTAGGCTATTGTACCATGCTTTCTAATTTTGATCTCCTATTAAAATTTTCCTTCGCTAATACACACACACACAAAAAGAAGACTAAATAAAAAAGCCAAAATTTCTTTAAACAATTGAGAAAATTTCGTTTTCGAGCGTCCAAATTTTTCGTTAACTCAAACTCTAACACAAACCATAATGATTATGAATTAATTAAAGAATATCTAGACACATCATACTAAAGCCTCTTTTATGATATTTTGCCTACATCATTTGTAACAGAATGTATACAATTTATTGCACATATCACTTCTTCATAATAATGGAAATAAATCATTTTGCCATACAATTAAAACTGGAGTTTGTTTTATTTCTTTGTATTCTTTTGCACAGAAGAATTTCTGTGGTAGTTTAAAATTACTCCGCACGAAAAATCTCTATATAATATATTATAAGGTATTTATCCCACTTCCCTAGTGTGCCTTCGTGGTGTAACGGTAGCACGCTCGGCTGGTAATCCAGAGATCCGTGGTTCGATTCCCGGCGAAGGCGGTTGCGTATTTTTCATCTTTTATGCTTCCAATTAACCTAATGACTCTACAATATAAAATATAAATTTCAGTTATTTTATGAGGAAGTGGGTTTAAATATAATTGGAGAAACTTTATTATAAGTAGTTTAATTCCAAAGTTAGCAATTATTCTCTTTTCACATGGTTTGATTATTACCAAATAAGAGCAACTTTATTATAAGTAGTTTAATTCCAAAGTTAGCAATCATTCTCTTTTCACATGGATTAATTATTACCAAATATGATATGGAAATCTCATATTTATTTCTGGGAAATGTCTAGTTTTATCTCAGATGTGGATTTAAAAGTTAGGCATTTTTAGGTTTATGAAATTAAAAAAAAACTTACAAGAAATCTAATTATAAGACTTTAAGATTTATATTTTAGACATGACTTCCTTAGAAACATAATTGTTCCTTATAATAAGCCAAGAATTAGCAACAGAGTGTAAACTGCTCGGTCGAGAGCTAAACGATTTTACACCAGTTTAAATTTGATGATATTTAAGTTCCTTTCTGCTATCTTACAGCTTCTGGAGGTAGATCAGCACTAAATTCTATTTAGTTGCTAATCATCCGCTATTAGAGTCAACAACTAAAATTCTTGAAAAAATATTTTTCAAATGTGAACTTACATTTTCCAAAGATACATGTACTGCCACTTTTCCTCCAAGGCTAAGTCCTAGTAAAACGGCTTTTGACATACGAAGATTGTCCATAAGTTCCACAATGTCTTCTGACATAGCAGCAACGTCGCTGCGATCATCCCAAGGACTATCTCCATGGTTTCGCAAGTCAGGCGCGCATACCTAAAAGACAAAGTTTTCAATTAGAACTGAAAGCATAAACAAAATTTTCTTATAAAGTAATATTAATAGGAAATTTATTTATTTAAAGTTAGCCTGCTATTCTTGCATCTGTTATTTTTTGCTACGAAAAGTAATTTATTTTTCTTTCTAGTTTAAAAGCAAAATAACGCTTGTTTTTCAGAAAAACTTTCCAGTTTGTAAGGCAGAGTTAAAGCGACTTTTCATTGCTTTTGTTGTTTATCACTAAGCTAGAATAAAGTAAAAAATTCCCATTCGTTCTATTAATCAATACCTAATGATTCACCTCCCCACCCAAAAAAATTATTGCGAGAAACATTCTATTTGTTATTCCAAATAATAGTGCTGATATTTTTCTAATAACTAAGGGCACAATGATAACTAAGGACTATTTTGACTACAAATAATAAAGTAATTCAAAGAAATCTACATGAATAACTACAGCATTACTGTGTAAAAAATATAAGTTTTTTAAAGTAAAAAAAATTCTAGCAAAGTAGTTTTTTTAATATGATAAGCATACTTTGGTTTGATACATACCTTTCTGCCTGTTTTTAAACAGAGATGCTCCTGGAAACCTCTCCATACCTCTTTTGAACCTAATACTCCGTGTATCAAAATTACAGGAGCTTTTTCTTCTGTCTCCTCACCTAAAGTTATTTTCATACAGCTATATGATAAATCCACTGGCTTTATTCTGGAAAGAAGTAGCGTTATTAAAAAAACACTGAATTTCAAATTTTGGTCTTTGTGAAAAATTAGCTCTACTTACTTTATGTCTTAAGTGATAATTTTTCCGCAGCGTAATCCGCGAAAATACTAGGCATGATTAAATTTTGTTTTAAAAAAATTGTTTTGTAATTATATATATATATATATATATATATATGTGTGTGTGTGTGTGTGTGTGTGTAAGATATAAGAAAATACAAAACTGCTTTAAAAACTATTGGCGACCTCAAAATTAATATTCTAGATTTGGTGTTCTTCCCCTAAATTCCTCTGTTCTTCCAAATTCGAGATCCTTCCATGATTATATAACAACCTCAAATTAACCTATCATAGCTTGTCTCTACAATTACATCAGACTTAGTATAAATACCGCTGGCGAATGTCATTCGTCTCCTAGCTTCCGCCATGCCAACATCTACGCTGCTTTGCTTCTCCGTCTAAAATGCCTGCGTCTTATCTTTTAAAAAACCAATGTACATATAAATTTATCATATTTTCATTAAGATTGAATCATAGAAATGTACCGGATTTCATTATGATTGGATAAATATCTACTGAGATGATTTTATATGTGTGGAAATAAAGACTGTGAATATATATGTATGTATGTATATGATAGTGTAGATGCTGATTGTACATATAGCTAAGCTGGTGTAAGTCATGCATCCGTTTTTTTAACAAATTTTCAAATCTTTAAAAAATAGGAACGACATATTTGCAATAAGTAAGAAAAGCGACGACAGTAAGCTAGCATGAGAGATATGCGGGAAATGAAATGCGGCATGTCCTAGATAAACTCTTGATTCAAAATAAATCAGTTTGAGTCCATCTTTATTCTGATTGGCTAATTCAAATTCAGTTCGCAAATTTTAATGTTATTGGTTGAAGCTTTTTGCAAGTAGTCGGTTTGGAAAGAATACAGTTTATAAGCAGTTACTATTTTAGGATAGGAAAGGAATACAACTATTCAAGAAGGAAAGTTAAGGGTCTGCTGCAAATTAATATACTTATTTTATCTATTTTTTTATTGCATATACATACTCTGCCATACACATCTCTCTAATTCTATAAATATCTACAGCTACCTAGTTTTCTACCTCGTTATAGTAATTTATTAGAATTTTTTAAACTGCATGTGTACGTTCGACACTCATTAAAACAAAATACCCGGTGCACATTTACCATAGTCACATTACAATATTTTATAATGCATAGACTTGATAAAAAGGGAACTCCTAAAATTAGTTATATTTTTTGGACGACCTGGTAGGTGTCATATACTAAATAATGAGTTTTGCTGAGATTCATTTCTTTTACTGCTATTTTAGGTTCGCACTTTTAGTTTTAACTAACCAAGTTTCTAACCTAATCTTAAACAGTCAAGAATTTATCTAGCAGGATATGTACATAACTAATTTTCTCTGAAAATGAAAGGAATGTTATAAAAATAAATAGGAAATACTTTTAAAAATAAATTAAAATTTGAAATTAATTAAAAAAATTTTAATTTAAAATGATGTAAACAAAAATATTAATGCACAGTGAATGTGAACCCTGATTGTTTTCTTTTTAGATGATTTCTTTAATCTAAATAAAGTTCTTAGAAGGCTGTCGATTTTTATTTAACTTTTACCATTTGTAAAATTTGGTATTTATTAGTTAAACTGTGATACTTAGTGTGTATAGAAATATGTGAAAAGAGGGCACCTGTGTTCAACGCATTATGATAAATTTTCGTCAAAGTGTTAATTAAATAATGAAAGCAGTACTAGGTTATTGTGGTAATCCAAAATGATGATAACGTTAAACAACTGGAGAAATCCAAACATTTCTATGCAAAATATACTTTAAAAATAACATATAAAATTTCAAGAAAATATCTTTTCAAAGTAAAGCTTAAAATTCATTTTAAAGGAAAACGACTTTTGAAGCAAATTATATCCTGTCCCTATTTTTGGTTTCTCCTTATATTTGTGAATTTACTCAAACAGTCGGCATACATGGATACTAAAGGCGCACAGAGCGTAACAGTATCCCTTTTGCTTAACGCTACCAAGAGAAAGAAATTATCAATATTTGAAATTCGTATTGCTTTAAACAACATATTTTTATGATTTTACCTAATGGAACAGCATTATTTTCCTCTAGTGTAGTTTCAACTCTAAATTTGAACTCTATCATGTTTGCATTGTTGAGTTTGGTAAATGTTTTGTTGCACTTACTCTTTATTAAATAAGATTAAGTTAATCGTTTTAATTTTAAACAGAAATTGCAATCTATAAAAGATTAGTCTTAAAATAATAATCTGGAAAAGATTAAAAACATCCATACTGTAACTACATAAAGAGATATGTTTTTATGTATAATTAAAAAGAGGAAAAAGAAAAGACGTCCTATTTCTTTATGTGAAAATCAAACCTAGAGCAGACAATTGTATTAAAACCTTGTTTTGAAAATAAATTTAATAATAAATATTTATTTGTGTACACAAACATTAGTAATTTTATGTTATTTAAGTTCCTCAGTTTCTTAAATGCATGAGATTATGCGTTACTTTTAAATTAAATATGCAAAGTGTGGTTGGAACGCAAACACAAGATGCTATTAACGCAACGCAGCGTATGATTAAAATGAAGGAAATTTTAAGATGATGTTCCAGTTTTTCTAAACCTTTTTCGATATTTATCAAAAAAGCTGGCTCGGAAGATGAGAAAATAATCTTTTAGCAATTTTATTTTTTTCTACAACCATTTTCTTGATGTTATTAAACAATATATTTTTTCAAACAGAAAACAAACAACAAATACTATCAGCCTCTTTGTTCAATAATATGTTCTATTAAACAAGACATTTAAACATAATTCTTCTTTCAAATGAGCATGTAAATTATGCACTTACTTAGGAGCGTCAATAGGTACAGATGTCGATATTCCCAAGAAAAAAATAAAGCCTATAACTCCTGGCAGAAACATTTTGAAACCTGAAAATAAGTGTATAGTTAAAGGAAAACGAGGCGGTGCATATAAATGAAAAATACATTTACTATTTATATTTAATATTTTGTGTTCATTGATTGAAAGTTAATGACAAGAAAATGACATTATGTCAATGCCCTATTTGATAATTTAAAAAGAAAAACAAAATTTTCTAAATTTACGTTTTAACGAAATAATTATGTTAGAAGATACCATAACTATAGCAATTCATGAGGTAGATCACATTTAATAAAGTTACCAGTATACTATACTAAGACCACACGCAAACCATTAACACAATAAAGGTAGTAGAAAATTAACACCTACCAAACGCAAACGTTTCTGAGACTAAAGCAGACCTGCGAAGTAGTTCCATATGTCCTTCGCAAGTATCCAAAGTCCAGACGTTTTTCGATAAAACAAACGAAAGTATGTATGATTTTGTTTCTTTCAGTTCCGGTTGAAAGATTATTACACGAAATAAAGATTATACAGTATTCCCTCAAGTTAAAATATCTTTGCTTAATTCAGTTGTGATTCAGGATTTTATTATTTACATTACGTTTCTCTAAAAAAATTGGTTATTTAAATTATTGAAAGGGATATATCATTCTGAAGTAAGACTGATGTACCATTTAAAAATATAGTGAAAAAATTATTTTCATTCAAATATCTAATTACTTTGTTTTCTATGTGAAATTAAATTTGAAGTACAAAAACGAAATTTTGAACTATCTTATAATAAATATAATATCTTATAACTCTTAAGTTATGTTTCTTTTTGTCTTATTTAGATTACAGCTTAAAAATCCTTTTTATTTCATTCAAAGATACAATTTTTTTTGCCTCATGATAATTTCAGATTCCTTTCTTTATAAATAGAAGGGATGTATTTGAGGTTTACAAAACTGTAGGACTTTAAAACATTTACTTGCTGAGAATTTTTACTTTGAGACAACGTCTGCTAGGTCACTGGGACTCCCAACCAAAACTCCCGGCATTTATTAAATTTTGAATAGCAGGTTTGACGCGTATTCGAGAGGTCCGTGGTTCGAGTCCCGGGAGGGCATCGCTCATTTTTCATCTCTCCTGCTTCGAAGCAACCTAATATCTCTACAATTGAAAATATATATTCATATTTTACAGATGACGCCTTCGTCCTTATATTCTTTGGAAACAATTGCAGTATGTTTGCAATACAGGTTTTGTTATAATAGGCAAGTAGTATAATTTAAAACTGTGTAGAATTAATAACGTAATAAACATAAGCAACATGTAATATAGCTGAACATAATAGAATTTGGAAGCACATTTTTGAATTACCGGTAATGGGCAATTTTGAAGACAGAAAATCTTCTATACTTTGTAAGTCTCATTAAATTTGTAAGAACATAAGTAAGTTCGTTTCAGTTTGCTACAATTCATAGTAAGTTCACTACAGTTCATTGTAGTTTCGAAACTAAAGAGTAGCTTTACAAGTAGCATTTGAATTACCAGTAATGTACACTTTTGAAGCCAGAAATTCTTATATAGTTTGTAAGTCTTGTTAAGATTTTAAGAACCTAAATAACTTTATTTTAGTTTACTATAGGTCATAATAAGTTCATTTCAGTTCACTACAGTTCTTGCAGTTTTGAAATTGAAGAGCAGCATAATTGCATATTATAGTTCTTTAATTTAATAGTTCATTACTTCAATAGCTCATATATTTATAGTTGTTTTGTAAAATAAAATAAATAATTTCCTAGAAGTTCATTATTGTTACAATTTACATAATACTTTATGACATTCATAATAGTTAATTCCTTTCAGTTGAAACAAAATAGTTTTGTCATACTAGTTCTGAGTAATAAGTTTTTACCAATAGTTGAGTTATAATAGTTGGAATAGTTTATTTATAATAGTTTATTCATGATAGTTAATTTAAATTAGTTCATGAATTTTGTGAAAGTCCATTAATGATATTTCTACACATATTCTCTTATATCCTTTATAAAATATAATTTTTTTATAAAGTTGCATCAAATGATGTATAACATAATTTAGTACTTATTCAAGTTCGCATATAAGAAAAAGTTCTTCATAGTAGTTCATTCATAATATAAAATATGCGGCAAAACCAATATATCTATAATAATATTTCATCTATAGTAGTTTTCATAACAGTTTAGTCAATTTAGTTCATTTGTGATAGTTCTTCATAATATTTAATTTATAATAGTTTATTACAATATTTTGAGAGACAATCTTGAATCGATTTGCACTTATTTTGATTGGTTAGGGTATAAAATACATTAATTTGCACAAAGATCGTCTCCTATAGATGATAAGTATTTTATATTGTTTTCTAATATATACATTTTTTAAATGCTTATTTTTAATTGAAAATCTGAGAAAGGCTTTGGTATTTGACGTAGGTAATTTGTTATGAGTTGATATTGTTAATGAACATTTAGCTGTATAATGGTCACTTTTATCCCCACATTCACATAGATCGGAGTTTGAGATGTTTCTGCTGAAAAGTATGTAGGGAATGGGACGTGACCTGTACGGAAGCAATTTATGTAGTGATTGACCGTTGTAAATTTTTGGTTAACATGGAGAGCAATTTGATAGAATCGTCTTCCTGTGTCGATATTTTGCCACTCACTTTATCAGGTTCAATTGTTCCGTCTTACTTTCTTCGGGAACATGCAAGGACCTGACTCGGAACAGAGAGCTCACTAAAGCTATGTTCAATAACTGTGGGAAGTAGACAGAATACACAAGAAGGGTATACAAAACCCTTTATTTTTCTCTATTTACAATAATTTCCGTACTTCGGAATACAAAGACCACTACTCGTGGTCTAAACGTAAGAATATAAAAATATAACTAAACGCTAAGTTTGAAATAATAAACGTGGAAGATTGGCCTTATATCAACAAGAAGCCGTATGTAGTACAGAGAACTGTGAACAAACACTACAATACGTTTAAAAATTATCAAAAGGATTAAACCTCTGGCCTGGAAGGCAACCAGCAACTGAGTAAAACTTCTAAGGTAAGCGGCCTGCTTCGACTAACTGCTTCCTCCCTTTCGCTTGGCAAAAAGCCACAACTTAAATACTTGGCGTTCGCCAGACAAACTTTGCATAAATACATTAACGCTTATAATTCTGGCCGGAAGTAGAAAATAAGAAGTGATAGTAAAGATTTAAAATAAAATAAACGTTAGTAAAACTTAAGATCCTTACATACTTCCCGCCAGAGTTAATTAGTTTGAAACTGAGGTCTAAAACGACCTTGTTGAAAACTTTTAGCTCTAGAATCTAACGCGAGGCCAATCTTTTACAAACATTTTTCGCTAGAAACTAGAAATTTAAAAGAAAGAAATTTGTTTTTACAATAGCAGCTCCCAGGACACGCAATTTTTTCATCTGTACTGCATCTAAACAGGAGCTTTTATTCAAATCTGGTTCCTTCCAGAGATCTGGAAGGAAAACTAGTTTAATGAAATGTTACAAAAATGAAATGGCAAGTAACATGTATAATTATATTTCTCTTAACATTCTTATTTCATCATTCATGACTATTTTAATTATCTCTCCCCGTGCTCTCTGACATGTGTTGTAAAAGAACACCAAACACGAATGTGTTTATGTCTATGTGTTCAACACTTCCTCCTACAATCAAAACACTAACGTGTTAAAATTCAACATACCAAGACCTCGTAACACACCCTAACTTTCAACTCTAAACCCTGAGGTACTATTCTGAAAGTGGCTAACTCTGAAGTGTAGCGTCAGAGAGCCTAACTACATTCATTCAACCTTTAACACATATTCACCATGATTTAGTCTTTTTACAGTCACACGAAAATAAAAAAAATTTAAATTTTTTTTTCAACATTTCACTTTCACTTTTACCATATCACGGTATTTCTTAACATTTAAAATAACAGTTCACATTGTATATAAGAACATATTAACATGCCGTTAATTTTACGCATTTGAAAACATACATTAGTAGTACATTGTTAACTTCTATTCTTTTCAAAGCAAGTGCCAATTCTTCTACATTGAAATACTACATTTCAAAAAGTCTTTCAGACTAAAACTTCTTTCTTGCCAGAATGTTTTAAATAAAATTTATACAATAACTTTTACAATATTTAAGTCTTTACACATCGCTATTATACATCAACTTTAGTTTTACACGCGAGTAATTGAAAAACATAATACCAAAATCGGTAACAACTCATTTCTCGCCCTTTTGGCGATAAAGGTAGACCTCGCATGAGGTAAAACTTCTTGAAATCTGCCACTTGCAGTAAGAATGAAAGATTAACTTAAGTTTGCAAAGTAACATAAAATTTTACTTATCTTTGTGATATTCGGACATTCTTTTCTGGGCCCAGTCCTTAAAGGTATTGCAGACAGTTGTTTGATTTATCCTCCTTCTTGTACGGGCTCGCCCTTCAGTGCCTTCCTCTAGAAGCTTCCTTTTTTCTCCAGTTCGGTCACCCTTGAATACCTTCTTTTCTCCTCTGCCTGTGGTCTTGGCCGTTTGATGGCAGCTGGTCTTGGCGGAACCGGGAAACTTCTTTCGTGTTCCTGCTTGGACCTCGTTGCTGGCCGTTCAAATTTTCCTTGTAACTTTTCCTCCGCCGCTGGTGGCCCTTCCGCAGTTCGGCGACATTTGCTGCGGAGAGTCCTGTCGGATGAGTAGATCTTCCGTTTTAGAGCCGGGTTATAGTTGCCGTCATTTCTCCTGGCTCTCTTTGCATACGTCGTCCTTCTCCCTTCTTCATTCTGGGGGTGTTCGTGAGCTCTCTTTTCTGGACGGTGGAACGGCTTCTTTTTCTTGTTACCTTCAATTTTTCCGCGGGGAAACTTTCTTTTCACTTGCTCCTGCCTCTTAATGGCTTGCCCTTGTACTTGTCGTTGTTCCACCTCTGGAGCTTGTGCCTGCGGTGTCTGCCGTGCCGGATCCTGCAAAAGATCTTGAAAATATTGCATTTTATTACGATCATAGTAGGGTTTGATTTGATCAATGTTTGCGGAGCAGGTTTCACCATTTCTGGCTTTTAACACTACTACAGCGTGAGTTATTTTTTCTATGACATATGGTCCTTCAAATCGTGGAAAAAATTTGGCAGTTTTATCTTCTGGTGCTGAAGAAAGTGAATGCTTAATTTTTAAACTTCATCCCCTACTTTATAAGTTACTCCCCGTCGTTTCAAGTCATCATAATACAGCTTTTTTGTTTTCTCTGTGCTACTTCAGTATTCTTTTTTGCTTCTTTTAATTAGTTTTTCTATATCACCCATTTTAAATTCTGGGGCTCTTTGTTGCACATAAAATAATTTATCTAACGGCGTTATAATCTTTCTGCCTAAAAATAACTCAGC